GGAGGCCCAAGCTGGCAGGGAAAACGGGCTCAGAGGCAAATTCAGCACATCAGGTAACAGTCCCAAGGGGGGCTCTGGGACCGAATCAGTCACCAATGGTTTGTTCAAAGCAGCAGGTACAAGGAGAAGGGTGGTAACTAACAACGTCTGGAGTGTAATGTGTAACTTGTTTGTACTGAAGTCACAGGAACGACCTCTTTGTCCAGCCGAGGGGACAGTGTCCGGACTGAGCTGGTACCATTGTCGCGGGCACACCTGGGTTAGTGCACTTGTCACCACAGAGCCAGGGCACTAGTACTGGGCTTCGTCGACAAGACACCGACCCGAGCGCCTTTGCCACTGAACCGAGCCGGTGGTCTTTCTCGCAGGTGACGCATGGGTGGGGAGGCATGCAGGGTTACGTTCCCCCCCCACACACACACACACAAAAGATTGCTCGATCACATGATGTGGGTGGGCTCCCTCCTGGCAGAGCAGTTGAGCCATGAGCTGCCCCAGGCAGGGAGAGGCAGAGGAACAGCTGGGAGCTGCACTGAGGGGCTGCTGCTTTCCGGGAGTGGGAGGCTACGGGGTGGGGTGGGGAAGCTGTTTGGGGTCGTACCCCTCCACTGTCAGCAGGCACTGGTCGTCTCTGCTCTCTCTTATGCCTAACACCGAGCTCGGCTGAATTAACAAGCTGCACAGTCTGCTAGCTCAGCTGACATCGGGGTTCCAAGAATAGCCGCAACGGCAGCTCAAACAACTTTCCACAGCACTAACCACATCCAGTTCAGTGAGATCCCTTTGTCACGCCTCACACTCAGCTTTGGGCTTGACTATTCTGAATAATTTTGTATCACTTGCACATCTTGCCACCTCCCGGATTACCCCTTTTTCCAGATCATTTACGAATATGCTGCACAGAACTGGTCCCAGTAGAGACCCCTGGGGGACCACCACTATTTACCTCTCTCCAGTCTGAAAACTGACCGTTTATTCCTACCCTTTGTTTCCTCTCTCCAGTTATTGAGTCATGAGAGGATCCCAACACTTATCCCGTGACTGCTTGCTTCACTTAAGAGCCTTTGGTGAGGGACCTTGTCAAAAGCTTTCTGAATGTCCAAACACTGTATCTGCTGGATCCCCCTTGGCCATGTTTGCTGACACTCTCAAAGAATTCTAGTAGATTGGTGAGGTAGGATTTCCCTGTACAACCCATGTTGACTCTTCCCCAACAAATTGTGTTAGTCTCTGTCTGATAATTCTGTTCTTTACTGTAGTTTCAACCAATCTGCCTGGTGCTGAAGTTAGGCTTGCCAGCCTGTAATTGCCAGGATCGCCGCCGGAGCCTTTTTTAAAAATCAGCATCCCATTAGCTACCCTCCAGTATTCTGGTACAGAGACTAATTCAAGCGATAAGTTACATACCACAGTTAGTAGCTGTGCAATTTCATATTTGAGTTTCTTCAAAACTTTTGGGTGAATACCGGCTGGTCCAGGTGACTTATTACCGTTTGAGGTATCAGCAGAGGAGGTTTCTCATCAATTAATCAGGGGCAGTTCCTCAGATCTGTCACCTAAAGTCTGCTGCAGTTTCCACGGTACACATCTGATGAAGTGAGCTGTGGCTCACGCAAGCTCATGCTCAAATAAATTGGTTAGTCTCTAAGGTGCCACAAGTCCTCCTTTTCTTTTTGCGAATACAGACTAACACAGCTGTTCCTCTGAAACCTAAAGAAGAATGGCTCAAGTGTGGGCATCTCCCTCACATACTCTGCAGTCAAGACCAAAGCAAATAATTCATTTAGCTTCTCCGCAACGGCCTCATCCTCTTTGAGTGCTTCTGCAGCACCTGCAGCAGCCACAGATTGTTTGGTCTTCTTCCTGCTTCTGAGGTACTTCCTTCTTTTTTTTTTTGCTGTTAGTTTGTGTCTTTTGCTCGTTGCTCTTCAAATTCTCTTTTGGTCTCCCTAATTATACGTTTACATGTGACATGCTAGAGTTTATTCACCTTTCTATTTCCCTCCGTAGGATTTGACTTTCAGTTTTTAAACGATGCCTTTTTGCCTCTAATCGCTTCTTTTACTTTGTTGTTTAGCCATGGTGGCACTTTTTGGGTCCTCTTATGATATTTTTTTAATTTGGGGCTCTACGTTTAGTCTGAGTCTTTGCAGGCATTTCACTTTTGGGACGGAACCTTCTCATTTCCTTGGCACTATTAGCCCGGCTGGGCAGGGATGCAGCCCCACGCTCTGGGTGTCCCTAAACCCCTGGGTGCCAGACGCTGGGAGTGGCCGAGGCGGGATGGACCATTCGATCATGGCCCTGCCCCGTCCACTCCCCCGGGGGCGCCCGGCTCTGGCCGCTGTCGGAAGACAGGACGCTGGGCTGGACGCACCTTTGGCTCCGACCCAGCCTGGCCGCTCGTCAGACTGGCCCCACCCTTTGGGGGTTCCAGGAGCAGCTGCTCCAAGAAGCCTCGTTGCCCCCCCCCGCCCGTACCTGTCCAGCTGACGTTGTAGCACAGCTCCCTGTGCAGGGCGCGGACGCCCCCCAGCACCGCCTGGGCCGAGCGCAGCAGGGAGACAGGGACACCCTCCGCCCCGGGGCGCTGGAAGTAGTGCAGCACCGCCATGGCGGGGTCCTGGGGGGGGGGGAAGAACAGGGTCAGTGTCCAGCCAGAGGGCACCCCCCCACTGTGCCCCCCCATACGCCCCCCACAGAGACCCCCCACTGTAACCCCCCACTGGACCCCTACACAGCCACACAGTGCCCCCCACTGCACCCCCCACTCTAACCCCATATGCCCCCCCCACAGCGACCCCCTCACTGCACCCCCCCACTCTAACCCCATATGCCCCCCACAGCGACCCCCCCCACTCTAACCCCATATGCCCCCCCACAGCGACCCCCCCACTGCACCCCCCCACTCCAACCCCAATGCCCCCCACAGCTAACCCCTCATCACCCCCCCACTCTAACCCCATATGCCCCCCCACAGCGACCCCCCCACTGCGCCCCCCCACTCTAACCCCATATGCCCCCCCCACAGCGACCCCCCCCACTGCGCCCCCCCACTCTAACCCCATATGCCCCCCCACAGCGACCCCCCCCCACTGCGCCCCCCACTCTAACCCCATATGCCCCCCCCCACAGCGACCCCCCCCCACTGCGCCCCCCCCACTCTAACCCCATATGCCCCCCCCACTGCGCCCCCCCTACACCGCGCCCCCTCACACCAGCCCCACGGTGACCCCCACGGCGCCCCCCCATCCCGGCCCTGTCCCCACGCCGCCCCGCGGCTCTGGCGCGGGCCAGGGAAGGAGGGGTGCGGGGGGGGGGGGTCGGGGCAGCGGGCACCTCAGAGCCCCGCCCGCGAGCCCGCGCTCCAACCGACGCTAACGGTTCCAAACCGTTGCTCGCGCGCCCCCACGTGCAGCGGCCCGGCCTCGCGGTGGCGGGGTGGGAGCTCCTACGTCACCACCGCAGCGTGGGTCGGTCAGGCCAGACACGGCTCCTGCGCAGCAATGTGCTCCTTCGGGCGCACCGAGCATGCGCGCGCACCGAGCATGCGCAGTCCCCATCGGCTGAAGCCACTGCCCTTCCCCCTGCCCGTCCTTGCCCTGAGGGTGGGGGGGGGCAGCAGCTGGAGGCAGGGTTCGCAGGGGGGGGGGGGGCGCTGACAGAGGGTAAAACCCGGCCCAGGCGGGGGGGGCAGTCACTGTGGTGGGGCTGAGCTCCCCCCCCGTGTTGGCAATAATGGGGGAGGGGGGCAGAGGGGCTTTTTTATGACCCCTCCCCCAGAGGGCACCTCTCAGCCCGGGCTGCCCAGGGCGGGTGCTTCAAGGCCCGGGCCCCCCCCCCCGGCCAGTCACTGCTGCCGCGCCCCTGGCTGCCGTCAGCGGCCGGGGGGCCCCGAACCCCCCCCCCAACGAGGGCCGCGCCCCGCGGTGGAGATGCGGCCACCTCTGGGGTGGGGGCCGCTATGGCTCCTGAACCACATCAGGGCCCTTCTGTGACCCTGCTGCCCACCCCCGCTGCCTCGCCCAGGGCCCAGCGGCCCCCTCCCCCCGCCCCAGCTCGGGGGTGGCCAAGCCCTGCGTGGGAGCCACGGCTCAGCCCCCGGGGGCCGAATAAAGGGACTGGAGACAACCAGCACCGGGGTCTGTCCATTGCCCGGGCCCGGGCCCGGGCCTCCAGCTGTTAGGACAGGGCTCATTCAACCCGCCCCCCCCCCCGGGGCCCAGCACCCCCTGCTGCCCTGGGCCCCCTGCTCTGTGCAGCCCCAGCGCCCCCTGCTGGGCCCCCGCCCCGCTCCCTCCAGCCCAGCACCCCCTGGTGCCGTCTTGGGGCCAGCCCGGCCTCTCCCCCCACGCTGGCCCCGATTCCCTAACCTGGGAGAGGTTGAGGATGGCGGGAACCGGCCACTCCCGTGGCTCGCCTTGGGGCTGCCGATCGGGTCCTGCATGGCTGGTTCACAGCCCGGGGGTGATTTCCCTGGAGCTCTCCAGGACCCCCTCATGGGGCTCTGGCTCCATCCCAGGCCCAGAGCTACCCCGCATCTGCCCGGCCCGCCTGCTTTTAAACCCTTACGCCGCCCCTGCCATGACGGATAGGGCCAGCTGCACCCCACACGGCCGAGGAAGGGGAATCAATCTTGGCTGGCCAGTTCCTGCCAATCTAACCTGGGGGGAAATTGCTGGGGGATCACGTATGGTGATCAATTAGACCCACAGCATGTGAGCAAGGACCAGCCAACCCCAGGAAAAGATAACGGTGAATAACCGTACGGCCAGTGCAACCGCTTGGCTGACCAGTGCGACACCGTTCAGCGTTCCAGGATATCCATCCTTAACTGATCATGTCCCGTGTGGGGCCGTGCCTAAAGCTTTACTGAAGCCCCAGGATATTAGATTTACTGCACTCCCCACAGCTGAAAAGCCAGTTACTTCCTCAAAGAAGGAAATCGGTTTAGTGTGGGACGATCATATGCAAGAACAATAAAGTCCAGACCAGTAATGTATATACACACGTGGTGCTTTAATCAGGCCAATTTCACAAAGCTGAAAACAATTATGAGCCAAATCAGCTGGAAGGAAGAATTTAATCCCAAAAATGTCAGCCACAATCCTCCACTTGAGGAAGAAGGCTGTGCTTTTAAAACCAAACCAAACCATCTGGTTTAGAAAAGCGAAGACAGTGGTAAAAAAAATACAAAAAAAAAAAAAAAGGTAAGAAAGGGGAAGTTGATAGCAATGAATATAAATCAGAAGTTAGGAATTGTAGAAAACTGATAAGGGAAGACAAGGGACACAAGGAGAAATCTGTGGCTAGCAGAGTTAAGGACAAAATATATTAGTGGGGGAAACAATCCTGACCAATGTATTAGCCCATTAGTAGATGGGACTGGTAGATTTATCAATAATAATGCAGAAAAGGCAGACATGTTCAATAAATATTCTTGTTCCATATTTGGGGGGCGGGGGTTGGAGATGAGCCAGTCTCATCATACAGTGGTGATAATACACTTTCCTTTCTAATAGCAACTCTGGAGGATGTTACAAAGAATTTACTGAAGTTAGACATTTTAAAAATCAGCAGGTCCAGATAACTTGCATCCAAGAGTTTTAAAAGAGCTGGCGGAAGGGCTCCTCGGACCATTACTGTTGATTTTCAATAGGTCTTGGCACACTGGGGAAGTTCCAAAAGTCTGGAAGAAAGCTGATGTGCCAATTTACAAAAGGATAAATGGGATGCCTTGGGTAATTTATAGGCCTCTCAGCCCAACATGGATCCCGGACAAGATAATGGAGTGGCTGATAGGGGACTCGATGAATAAAGTACTAAAGGAGGTCAATGTAATTAATGTCAATCAACATGGGTTTATGGAAAACAGATCCGTCAATCTAACTTGGTATCTTTTTTGCGGAGAGGACAAGTTTAGTTGAGAAAGGTAATAGCATTAGGACAATGGACAGACTTGTGTACAGTGTTTGAGAGGTGATTTTGCCTCTGCATTTGGCCCTGGTGCGACCGCTGCTGGAATCCCGTGTACGGTTCTGGGCCCACGAGACAAGACGGATGTTGGTAAGTTGCAGAGGGGTCAGAGAAGAGCCACAGGAATGATGAAAGGCTCAGACACCCTGCCTGAGAGCGAGAGACTCAAAGAGGCTCAAGGAATGAGTTGATCACAGTCCATAAGTACCTACATGGGTGCCACGGTGGCAGGGGTCTGGTGCTCTGGAGCAGTCCCAGGGAGGACCCCTTCAGGATGCCAGCCTGCCCCCTTAGGGGCTCTCGCTGTCACGAAGGGAAGCCACTTGGCTTCACCACCTCCTGGGATCAAACCTCAGAGCCTTCAGCCCCCCAGCTGCTCAAATCCAGCTGGCATCCTGGAGAGGGGTGGCCATCCCTGGGCATTAGTTGCTAGGTATCAAGTATCCAGGCAATTAGAGCGACCATGATCTTCTCGGACTCCCATGGCCATGGGGCCCAGACCCCACACAGCCAGCCGCCTGTTACCCCTGTATCTCTGCAGACAGTGAATAACCTTTCCCCACCACCTTGCTATCCATGCACCACACAGGGGAAACTGAGGCACACACACTATTCATACAAAATATTATGGAAAATCCCCACTCCATCACAATAGGGAACAGATATTTAATAATGGGCTTCTCAATCTTGCAGGGAATGGTCTGACACCACCCAATGGCTGGCAGTTGAGACTGGACGAATTCAGACTGGAAAGAAGGCGTCAATTGTGAACAGTGGGAGTAATTAGCCATGAAAACAGTTTCCCAGCCGTCGGGGTGGATTCTCCATCCCTGGCCATTTTTCAAGCAAGACTGGATGTGATTCTAAAAGCTCTGCTCTGGGAAGGGGTTGGGGCCGATGGGCCGTTCTCCAGCCTGCGGGCTACTGGGGGTCAGACTAGACATTCACAATGGTCCCCTCTGGCCTTCGAAGCGCTGGAGCTATGAACGTCAACCTCTAGTCAACAGAGGAAGGACGTTAACTATTATCCGGTCACAAGGCGCAACTCCTGAAAGAGGGAGTAAAACTCCTTGCTCCGGGACCGGTAACCTCACATACCAATTCTTTGGCTATTCTGGGATAGAAATTACATTCCAAACTCATAGATATCAGGCCATGGTGTGTCACAGGGCTCAGCGGGAGGGGCACTGTTCTGTGGGCAGCGGGGGGTGCTCTCCCTTGGCAGTCTGCTACTCCCCAGAATCAACAGCATTTCAGGGGCAAAGAGTTAAAAACAGATGATGCAATCTCATCACACTTTCCATTCCACTGGTATCGCTGCAGCCTAAACGTTACCAAAGTTAGACATTTTTAAATCAGCAGCCCCACATAACTTGCAGCGAAGAGTTTCAAAAGAGCTGGCTGAGGAGCTCACTGGAGGTTAATGCTGATGGTCAACAGACCTTGCAGCACTGGGGAAGTTCCAGAAGAACACGAATGTTGTGCCAGTTTTTACAAAGGATAAACAGGATGACCGAGGTAGTTCGAGGCCTGTCAGTCTGACCTCAATCCCAGACAAGTTAATGGAGCGGCTGATTTAAAAATCAGATCTGCAGAGTCTGGCTTCGGTGGTGGGCGATGGAGAGTGCACCTGTCCCACCTGCCTAACCTGTGCTGGCACATCCCTCCCTTTCCACCGCCCGTCCCGCAGTATGTGACAACAATGCCCCAGCAGCATGACCTCCCTCCAGCCTCATTTTCTGCCTTGATTCAGATCCTGCCAGGCCAGGGCCTGTACCCAGCTCTGGGGTGGGGTCAGTGTGTGAGCACCCTGACTCGTTAGCCCTACGTGGGGGCGGAGAAGCGCAAGAATATCACAGAATTGATGACAAACAGCCCCTGATCCTTTGTAATTCAAAGTAAAGTCCTCGCGGGGCTAAACGTCTGTTGTGTGCGGCGTGTTTCCCACACACTTGGAATATTCTGTCCAGGGTGAGCAGTGTTCCAAGGAGATCACCATCTGGGGACGGTGCCACCCTGTGCCAGGAGCAGCAGCTAACCTGTGTTGGTGCCTGAGTGGCTTGGACCCCAGCCCTACCCTTCCCCTGGCTGTGCCTACTCCAGCCGGTGTCACTGGAGGTCAGGGAGCCCAGGGCCCCCATTGCTCTGAGCATTGGGAAATTCCCAGCCCAATGCACCACGGGGAAGGAGCTCCAGACCCCACTCCCCGTCCAAGGACAGCCCCCCATGGGCAGAGGGCTCCAGCCTCCTCCCAGGACAGAGGGCTGCAGCTCCCCGCCCCCGTGGGAGGGATTCCCAGCCACGTGCATGGACGCAATGGAGACATTTCCCAGCGGTCCCCATGCGGCAGGTTGCCAGCCATGACTTTCTGGGGCAGTTTTCCCCCCAGCTCTTCAGCACCCAGGCTGGGGAGTGGGCCCATGATGTGCACTCAGGGAGGGGGACTTTGATCAGGTGACATTGCGGTGGCCACAGGCTCAGAGATCTATTGGGAAATGGTTTTTCCTGCACCACCCTCAGCCAGCGAGTGGTGCCTGCTGGTTTTTACCAAGAAAAGGATCATAACTTTTCCCCTTGGGGCAGCTGTCTCCTCCCCTGCCCCTTAGAGCTGGATTTTCACCCCCTCCCAATCACCAAGGAATCGAAGCTGAGCCCCACTTACCGGGGCAGCATTTACAGGGGTCACTTTGACACTTATTTCTTTGCTAGGGGAACCAAAAAGTCCCAACAGCCAGTGACAAAATCACTAAATTGGCAGCACTGCGAGCGTTTAGCAGTCCCACTTCCTCCTTCCTGGTTTTATTTATATGGCAACAGAACCTTTTACCTGATTTAAATTTCTTTTGTAAGGTCCAACTCTGCTTGGCTTTGGGCAGTTCTCAATGCATCAGCTGTCATTGGCAGAGGAGTTTCTGATGCCTGTGATCTCAACCCAGGGATGTCTCCAGCTGGCCAGTCCCACCACTGAGGAGACCCAGCCTCAGCTCTGAGCTTTTCCACTCTCCCTTCCTAGGAGCCAAGGTCCAGTTGAAAAAAGAGTTTTTCCTTTGCACAAATTGACGAGCAGCAGCATCTCTGTGTCTCTTGTCCGAGCCGGGAATTAAATTCCATGGGAGCTTTCTGCTCTGCAAAGGAACGAATGACCAATCAGAGGGGTCAGGGCCACCTTCCGCTGTGACAAGAAGCAATGTGCTCCCCTCTGGATGCCGCTGAGAGCTCATGGCAGGCTGGGAAGGGAGGTTGGCGGAGTTCATTCCAGGGTGGGGAAAGAAAGGATCTGCCAGTATCCCGGTGCCCCAGGGAAGATCTGACCCCCCCAACACACATTATTACACCACGGATGTGCTGGAGATATGACAGCAAAAGGGACTGTGTGAATTGTCACGGGGGGGAATGAACCATCATCTATAGCAGTGGGGCTCAAACCAACCCTCGGAGTGCAACCCCCTCAATAAATTAAACACTTTTTAATACATTTGTGACGAAGTGGGACTGTTCTTAATGTTTCCTCTGAATAGTGTGGGGGTGCCTCAGTTTCCCCTAGGCAGTTAAGTATCTAGGTGGTGGGGTAAGGGTGTATGATCATTGCAGTGCCCTAGAGGGCATGTGTGTGCAGGAGTCTGGACACAGAGAATGGCCCACACCCTGTTTCCTGGCAACTGATGGCCTGGGCCCTTCCCCCCCTGCAAGGTGAGAGCTGAAGGGTTGGAGAACAAAGGAATCAGGTGACCTCCTGGCCCGGGAAAGGAACAAAGCCCAGAGGAGGAGGGGCTGGAGGGGTTTTCAGTTTGGGGCTGGCTGGGACATGGAGTGAAGTGCAGACGTGGTTGTCTGGCTCACTGCCCCCCCAGAATGGACCCAGCTGAGGGGTCCCGTTCTCTGCACCTGCAAGCTCTGTTTTAGACCATGTTCCTGTCGTCTAATAAACCTTCTGTTTTACTGGCTGGCTGAGAGTCACGTCTGACTGCGAAGTTGGGGTGCAGGACCCTCTGGCTTCCCCAGGAGCCCCGCCTGAGCGGACTCGCTGTGGGAAGCGCACGGAGAGGCAGAGGATGCTGAATGCTCCGAGGTCAGACCCAGGAAGGTGGAAGCCGGGTGAGCTGTGTGTCCTGAAGACAGTCTGCTCACAGAAAGGCGACTACCCCAGAGTCCTGACTGACTTCATGGGGAGCAGTTCCAGAGCATCGCCCAGAGACTCCGTGACAACATTTAACACCAATATCAATGCTGGACGCAAAGCAGGGCTTGGGGGGGAGACTGACAGCTCACAACCCCCCATGTAATGACCTCGCGACACCCTGAGGGGTCCCGACCCTCAGTTTGAGAACCCCTGATCTACAGCGGCCTCCTCAACTCTGCCCCATCAGCCGTCCCCTCTGATTCACTCTCTTCCTCACCTCCAAGTCTCCCCCAGGCCTTTCAGATATCTGTGGCCTCTTTGTGGGGGTTCCACACCCCATTCCCTGGATCTGGTGTGGGGGCGCAGGTCCACCCTCTCCTCTGGGCTCCAGCCCCCCCAGACCCATTAACCAGCAAGCAGGGGCTGCTCAGACAGCCGCTCCCCACTCACCAGGCCCACCACTAAACCCCACCAACTTCCTCTTGGGCCTGTCCTCACCCCCAGCCGCCCAGCTCAATTCCCCCAATGAACCCCTCCCCAGGTTCTCTCCAAACCTGCCTCTCCCACAACCCCCCCCCCCCGACTTTATTCCCCACTGAACCCCTCACACCCCTGCTTTTGTTCCTCCTCAAGTCTGTCCCCAGTGGCCAGGAAGGGGAACTGCTGACAGGTCTCCAGGCTGGGGGTGGCTGGCCCTGTAGGGATCAGGGCTAAGGACCTTCTGGGAACAGTGTGGACCCGCCTCCTCTCATGTGACCCCGCCCCCATTCAAACTCTCTCACACAAACCCCGCCCCCTCTAACATGACCTCACCCCACATGCCCGGTGCACAGACAGTCACACTGCAGGAGGGGGCATTTTTAAGAGCGCACCGTCCAGCCCCCACCAGCATGACCTCATATGCACGGTGCGTAGGAGGTCACGGCGGAGGGGGCGGGGCCATGTGCTCCTGAAATAGCCCCGCCTCCCCAGTCGACACCGGATAAAACCAGGGCGGGTTTTGTGCCGGTCCCGGCCCGGGGACAAACCTTGGGATACGAGACCGGCTGGCGAGGGGCTCCGCAGTCAGGACTCCCCCTCGGGGTGCTCCAGGCACCACTCGCAGGCGTTCTGGAACATGCGCAGCCAGGGCGAGACCTTCATGGTGCGGCGCCAGTCGGGAGGCATCCAGGCCCACTGCCAGGGCAGGACGCAGCGCTCAGGGTGGGGCATCATGGCCAAATGGCGCCCGTCGGGCGAGCAGAGCCCGGCGATGCCCAGCGGGGAGCCGTTGGGGTTCAGGGGGTACTCCTGGGTGGGCTGGCCCTGGTCATCCACGTAGCGCAGCGGGGCCAAGCCCCCCGATGTCACTGCAGCCAGCACCTCGGGTGAGCGGAACCGCATCCGACCTGGGGCAGGAGAAAAGAAGGGGTGAGATGGGCAGAGAGCCCCAGCGGGACACCCCCCCACAACAGGCCCACCGCCTCCATACCCCGATGTTGCCTCGGGAGTGTGAAACCGCATGCGAGCTGGGGAGGGCGTGGGAGGGAGACAGATAAAGCCCCCCCCGCACATTCTCTCACTGTCACGATGGCCAGCAGGGCAGGGAGTGGGGAGCCCAGTTGCTTGCCCTGTACAGCAACGGGGGTTCTCCCGGTTGTGCGGACCCCGACGTGCTCCACTTGAGCTGGGCAGGCCCTTCACGTGCTGAGGCGGGGGGATTTTCCTTAGCTGTGGCCAGCGCCTGCGCCCTTCTCCTCCTGCACCGGACCGAGGCCCTGAGCACAGAGCTCTCCAGTTCCTTCTCCTTGGCAAACAAAACACCCTCTGGGGGAAGGACCCGCGGGGGCGGGGAAGGAGAGCGGGGGGGGACACACTCAGGAATCGCCCTCTCCAAGAGCTCCAGCTACTGTACGAGCCAGGGAACCAGACTCCAAAAGAGAGACACCCCGGAGCCGACCTGCCATAACCGTCCAGGGACGGGTGGAGCAGGCAGGTCGCAGCCTGAAATTCACTGCAAGTCTCTACGAGGAGCTCGCTTCCCCTCTCCTACGTCTCGTTCTCTGCAGAGGGGACACTAAGGCTCATCAGACATCCAGAGAGTGGAGCTCTCTGGTGGCTCGTGGCTTTGGCTAGAAGGCAGGTGTGCCGAAGCTGGAATATTTGGCAATCTTTTGGAAGCCACTGTGTGCCTCAGTTTCCCCTGTTTGCTGCTTTGTGACCCAGTGGGGTGGGAAAGGGCTGTTTGCTCTTGGGACCGGCTGAGGAACATAGGTGGGGGTGTCACCGAGCTGCAGGAGCCTTAGCCCCTGTATCAATGGAGCATCTCAGAAGATGAAGGCAAATACAATGGCCTGGACAGTGACACCAAGCTACCAACAACCCAGAGGGCGATGCACCCCTCCACCTCTCCTCGGGGAGGCTACACAGCATTTCCCCAGCCGGAGAACAAAGGACGGGACAGGTTGGTGGAGGGGAGAAAATAAGAGTCGGGGGCTGGAAAGAGTCGGGGCTCTCAGCTGGAGCCAGACAGAGAGACAGACGGAGCTTGAGCCCAGGGGTTCACCACAGCCTGGCTGGGCTCTGGGCTAACCAGGATGGACGATGCTTTAACTTCAGTGCTCGATGCTACCTGGAGGCCTGCATATGCTGTGTCCTGGCTAACAAACCCCGCTGTGTGAGTGTCACCGCAAATCCAGGGACAAGTCTCCCTCGGGGGCAGCCCCCCTCAGTGGGACTCGCTGACTGGAGCTCATGGGGTGAAGCAGGGGGGCTGAAGGCCCACGGGTCCAGCCTAAGGAGGTGGAGAAGTGGTGTGGCTTGCCCTAGGGGCGTCTGGCACACTGACAGGCCTCCTAGAGACCGCTCCAAAAATGGGCCATAGCACCGACCCTGTGGACCCAGGACACCAGGCGATGGATGACCTGCTTCAGGTGGACTTCCAAGAGCATCCCAGGGGCTTCGAGAAGCTGGATCCCTGTGGAGACTGTCCACGCAGGGTCGGCCACCAGGGCCTCGGTCTCGGACTCCATGGAGATCCCGCGTCAGGGGAGCTTTCCACACTGGAGGGGAGGCTCTGGGAAAGAGACGGAACAGGGCAGCCCAGTGGAAGGTGCCGAGCTGCCTCACACGCCCTTCTGGAGCTGAGGGACAATCCTGACGTCTTCAGAGAGGAGCCAGCACCGTGCAGCTGGGAACGCAGAACTCTCGGGGGCAGCGGACGATGCTGGTACCCCCCGGAGAATCTCCTCCATTTTCCTGCCCAGTCTCGGAGCCCGCTGTCCACCCAAATGCCACGCTGCCAGAGGGAGAGATGCTGGGGTGGGGTGGGGGACCCCGGCTCAGCCCTAGGTCAGGTGAGGTCGGAGCTGGCTGCAGATGCACGCAGACGAAGCCACCTGGTGAATCCCGGTGGGTCAGATCTGCCTCGGCTGCGTGGCATCCCCGCTGAAGTGCCGGCCTCGGGCTGCTGGGAGCAGGAGGTCGGGTATTTCTCGTTCACAGAGAAGGGCCCGTGAGCTCGGTGAGAGACGCCCCAAACCGCTGAGTGGAGGGGCTCCCGCTCGTGGTCTCTGGAGAAGCGTTTGCAGAGGCTCTGCCAGGGTGAGCCGCACCCCGGAAGGGGCAGCACCGAGATGGGGACGCGGGGGCGGTGCCCCCGTTCTAGAGACCGACAGCCTCTCTGCACATCAGGCTGTCCAGCGTGACGGGAAGAGGAAGGCTCCAGGCAGGCGGCAGGCAGCGTTGCCCAACCTCACGCCCCGCACGCCGGTCTGAAAGGCGGAGAGCCGGGACTCTGTAGGGACCGGGCACCTTGGGCTACAGGCTGGTTCAGACGGGCGCCCCAGCCCAGCAGCTTCGCTGCTAGACCGAAACGCCCGTTATCCAATGTGTGTTCCCCAGATAGGTGCTGACACACGGGACAGGTCACCCCAGAACCGTCGCTTTCTCAAGCTGAAGAGCTCGAGCTCCTGGAGTCTCTCCTTCTACGGCAGGTTTTCTGACCCTGCCCCTGGCTCCTCGCTGACCCCTCTGCAATCGACTCAGGCCTTCTTGAGCTGAGGGCACCAGAACTGGATGCCAGGATCCCAGCAATGGTCGCACCAGAGTCCAATCCAGAGGCACCTCTCTCGAGGTGCCCCCCGTTTGCTGAAGGGGACCCCAATGCTCGGCCACTGACGGTTAAGCACGAACAATTTACCCTCCCCCACCCCCACCCCCACCACGTCGGCTGGAGGACCCGTCTCCGACCACGGGTGCTGCAAAGGAACCGGAGAGATGGTCGGGCCGCACCATGCTCCACGCTCTTGGGGAGCAGCTTGAGGGGGAGAAGGGGGCAGGTACGGCCCAGCGGAGCCTGCTGGGGAAAAGCCTTCCCGTCTCAGGCGCACGGACACCTCGAGAGCAACACACACAGGACCATGGCTCGGCGGAGAGACACACCCGACGGGGGGGGAGTCCAGGGCAAGGACCCCTCCCACCATATTAGGGAAGGACCCCCCAGCCACTCCTCTGGGGTAGGACGCAGAGGCTGGTTATACAGGGACCCCTCACCCAGCGCTGGGGTGGGGCGTGGAGCTGTGTATACGGGACGGAGCGAGCAGCCCCCTAGAGCTGTTACCTTCTCCGTGAGCCACCCAGATTCCCAGGGTGGAGCCAGCCATGCCCCGCAGCATCACCGCTGGGCTCTGCTCGACGGCCAGCGCCACGAAACGCGACTCGAACCGGCCCGAATCGTTGGGGGCCAGCAGCACCCCGGGACGGACGGCCCCACCTGCGGACAGACAGGCTGAGTGAGCCCTGCCCTAGACTCCCCCACCCAGACACCTCCCCAAACCCTCCAGCCCACCGACAGGCCCCTCCCCCCAGCCCCACTCACCCGGGGGATCGCTCGTGGGGCTCTCGCCCCCCACCCAGCCCAGCAGCGCCATCAGCTGGCAGCCGTTGCAGACACCCAGGCTGAACGTGTCCCTGCGCCGGTGAAAGGCCTCAAACTGGGCTCGCGCCCGGGGGTTGAAGGTCACCGAAGCTGCCCAGCCTGGGGACAAAAAGGCACACTGGGGGTCAATCACCTGGGGGGAATGGGGCGCGGGGCCTTTCCCTTCTAGGGGCCACTGGCTCCAACCTGGCCCCCGACGGGGACTGGCTGGCTCAGAGGGGTGGGGAACGGGGCTCGGAGCCTGTCCCTTCTAGGGGGTGCCGGCTTCCAGCTAGCCCCAGGGTGGGGACACGCTGGCTGGGCGGGGGGTGAGGGGAATGGACACGCTGGCTCGGAGGGGGATGTGGTGGAGACACGCTGGCTGGGCGGGGGGAGTGGACACGCTGGCTGGGCAGGGGTGTGGACACGCTGGCTGGGCGGGGGTGTGGTAGAGACACGCTGGCTGGGCGGGGGGTGTGGGACACACGCTGGCTGGGCGGGGGTGAGGGGAGGACACGCTGGCTGGGCGGGGGTGTGGTAGAGACACGCTGGCTGGGCGGGGGGAGTGGACACGCTGGCTGGGCGGGGGTGTGGTAGAGACATGCTGGCTGGGCGGGGGGCGAGGGGAGTGGACACGCTGGCTGGGCGGGGGTGTGGTAGAGACACGCTGGCTGGGCGGGGGGCGAGGGGAGTGGACACGCTGGCTGGGCGGGGGTGTGGTAGAGACACGCTGGCTGGGCGGGGGGCGAGGGGAGTGGACACGCTGGGTCGGGAGGTGAGGGGGGCACTGGCTGGGTCGGGAGGTGAGGGGGGCACTGGCTGGCTCCCGGGCAGGGGTCTCACCTTTGGCAGACCCTAGGACGTCCGCGTAGCTGAAGCCCCCCACGAAGACCAGGCCCCGGAACGACTCCAGAGTCACCTCCCCTACGTACAGGTCCTGCATGGTCACGTCCCAGGCCTGGGGAGAGAGGGGGGTGGGGCCGAGGGGTTAGAGTCGGGGGGCGGGGCAGGACGCCAGGGTTCGGAGTGGGGGTGGGGAGGTCTCACCTGGAACCCCGCCATGATGAAGGCTGCCACCATCTCGCGGTCCCCGTTGCTGCCCTCCTCGCGCAGGATGGCCACGCGCGGGCCCGGCTGGGCTGGGGGCAAAGGTGGGGTTAGAGACCAGGGCCTGCTGGGCTCAGTGCACCCCCACTGGCAGAGACCCCCCCCTCCCGCCACGGGGACCTGGGGACACCCCCGCCCACACACCCCTCCCTCCCAGAGAGCTCCTTTCTCCACAGCGATCTGGGGACACCCCTCCCACACACCCCTCCTCCCCCCAGTGAGCCCCTCCCCCCCGGGGCCCCGGCCCTCACCCATCTGGCACAGCAGCGGGGGCGCAATCTTGGGGTCGAAGGTCAGGGTGAAGCTGGGGCCCTGGCGCTGTGCCAGCCCCCTCTCCTCCTGCTCCACGCAGTGGGGTGACGCTTGCAGCCGCTCCAGCTGGATACTCGTGGCCTCCCAGAGGGCGCGCAGGTCCCCCACGGGCCACACCAGCTCCTCCTGCCCGTTCACCCGCAGCCGCACCTAGGGGGCACGCAGGGGGTGGGCCGGGGGACTGCAGCACTGGTGCCCCGCACTCCCGACCCACAGCCCCTGCTAGCCCAGCCCTGGGCTCCCCCCCAGCTCTGCCGGGTGCCCCTCACTCCCGACCCGCAGCCCCTGCAAGCCCAGCCCTGGGCTCCCCCCCAGCTCTGCCGGGTGCCCCTCGCTCCCGACCCACAGCCCCTGCTAGCCCAGCTCTGCCGGGTGCCCCTCACTCCCGACCCGCAGCCCCTGCAAGCCCAGCCCTGGGCTCCCCCCCAGCTCTGCCGGGTGCCCCTCACTCCCGACCCGCAGCCCCTTCCCCCCTTCCCCCTCCCCCCCCCCACCCCAGCCCCTGCTAGCCCAGCCCTGGGCTCCCCCAGCTCTGCCGGGTGCCCCTCACTCCCGACCCGCAGCCCCTGCTAGCCCAGCCCTGGGCTCCCCCCCAGCTCTGCCGGGTGCCCCTCACTCCCGACCCGCAGCCCCACTCACCATGGACTGGGGGCCCAGGGGTCCCGTGTGCCCGATGGGCAGGCATCGCACTCCAGCCTCCTCGTACCGTCTGCAGACGTCTCCTGCCACAGCGCTGGGCACCTCCAGCACCAGGCCCAGCTCCTCGGCAAACAGCACCTCCAGGGCTGGGGGGCGAGGGGAGTCAGGTTGGGGGGGGAGAACTGGGGGATCGGGGGGGCTCGTGTGAGGTGGTCGGTGAGGTTGGCCTTGTGGGGGAGGGGTCCAGGCTCTCACTACTGGGCTACGGGAGGGCTCAGGACAGAGGTTTGGGGAGGGGTTATGGGACAGGATCCCCCATTCGCCGCCGGGCTGTGGGGTTCAGGGCGGGGATTTGGGGAGGGGGTTTGTGGTGGGGTTTTCCATTCACCGCTGGGCTCTGGGGCTCGGGACACGGGTTCGGGGCGAAGTCCCCCATTTGCCCCCAGGTTGTGGGGTTCGGGGCAGGGCCCCCCACTCACCGCTGGCCCCCGGTGCCACCAGCTCGGCCTGCAGCCCACAGTTCCCGGCGAAGGCCATCTCCAGCAGGCAGGTCACCAGCCCCCCGTCACTCACGTCATGCCCTGCGCTCACCACCGACTCTGGGGGGACAGCACCGGGTGGGACAGGTCCCCCCCAGCATCCCAGCTCCCCCCCCAGCCCCAAGGGGCACCCAGGCCAGCTTCACTCCACCCCCCAGCCCCGCCCCTCAGACCCTGGGGGTGCCCACATCAGCTCCCCGCCCAGCCCCGAGGGGCACCCAGGCCAGCTTCACTCCACTCCTGGGGGTGCCCACATCCAGCTCCTCCCCCAGCCCCCCTCACACCTCCCCCAGAGCAGGGCTCATCCCCCCCAGCAGGGACGGACAGACGGACGGACACACCTTGCAGCAATTGCTGGGTGACGCGGAAGCAGGCTGCCAGGCTGTCCGGGTTCTCCAGGTCTGGGCAGCGATCCCCCAGCTGGGCGTAGCACTGTGCCAGGGCACTGCCCCCCAGCCGGTGCTGCTCGGGGCACAGCTCCACGTACAGTAGGGCCCCTGCAGGGCAAGAGAGATGGGGTCAGAGCCAGACACCAGGGTCCCCGAGCCAGCCAGTCCCTGGCCTGTGGCACATCAGAGCCAGCGCCCCCGAGAGGGGAAAGGCCCCATGCCCCACCCCTCTGAGCCAGCCAGTCCGTGCCCTGGGGCCAGATGGGAGCTGGTGCCCCCTAAAAGGGAAAGAGCCTGTGCCCCATTCCCCACTCCCCTGAGCCAACCAGGCCCCGCCCCTCACCTTTGCCATCGGGACACTTGAGGTCAGGTGTGACGGTGGCCGTGATGTCCGGACACACGGCGTAGGCGGAGACGACCAAGGTCCCTGTGGGGAGATGGGATGGGGTCAGTGGGGAGTCCAGCTAGCCTAGGGGGGTGGGGAAGCGGGGGAAAGAGCCAGTCTGGGGGGCCAGGATAGCTTGGAAGGCCGGGATTGGGGACTCCCGGGGGCCAGAAAGCCAGGGCACCTGCAGGGGATGAATTGGGGACCCTTTACGGGGTGGATAGGGGAGTGAGGACTGGCTGCAGTGGCGGCAGAGGGGGCATGGGGCAGTAGCTTTGGGGATGGACATGGGGCGGCCCTGGTGTGCACACCCCTCTAACAGAGGAGGTTTGTGGGAGATGAGGCATCTGGTGGTGTGCCTCAGTTTCCCTATGGACAGATGCCCGGCCTGCTGAGCGTAGCTGGCATGGGACGAGGGAGGGTGGAGGCCTGTCAGAGGGGGACCCGGGGACTCATGGGGGCTGGAGACAGCGGAGCGAGGGGGCCCACAGAATCTGGGATGGGGGGCTGCTGGGGCAGGGCGAAGGGGCAGAGCCCACCCCCCACACTCACCGGGCGCCATGACGATGTCCGTGCCCACGCGGGCCGCCATGCTGAGCGAGTCCTTGCCCCCGTCCACGGCCACCCCCAGCTGGGCCATGACGGCGCACATGGCCCTACAGGCGTCCACCAGCGCCGCGCCCTCGCCCGCCTGCTTGGCCGCCCACATCCAGTTCCCGCTGCACTTCACGTCCTGGGGGGAGAGAGGGGTCAGCCACGGGGCCCCGGCCAGCCCCATGCCTCCTGCACTGCCCCATAGCCCCCCCCACACCGCCCCACAGCCCCCACATCCAGTTCCCGCTGCACTTCACGTCCTGGGGGGAGAGGGGGGTCAGCCATTGGGCCCCCATACAGCCCCATGCCCCCTCCCCCCCCACTGCCCCATGGCCGCCCCACAGCCCCCACAACCAGTGCCCACTGCATTTCACATCCTGGGGACAGAGAGGGGTCAGCCGTGGTCTGCTGACAGCCCCACAACCACCCCACTGCACCACAGCCCCCCCAGTTCCTGCTGCACTTCACGTCCCAGAGGGGAAGGGGGGAGAGAATCAGCCACATGAGCCCACAACCCCATACCCCCCGCCCCCAGCCAGGTCCAGTTGCACTTCATATCCTGGGAAGAAAGTGGGGTGAGACACGGGACCCCCATACAGCCCCAATCCCCCCCCACACACATGCAGCCCCATGGGCCCCCTCCACCTCCAATACCCACTGCACTTCACATCCAGGGGGAGGGGGGGTCAAGAGGAGGAGGATTAGCCATGGGGGGAAAATGTCAGACACAGACAAGCCCTTCCCCACTCAGCCCCCCCCAGCCTGTCCCCTCCCCAAGCAGACCCCCCCAGCACCCCAAACTCCCCTCCCCAAGCAGACCCCCCATGGCTCACAGGGCGACTCACCCGCAGGTCGGTGACGCGGGCAAAGACCAGGTTGGTGAGCGCCTCACCCACGGCCAGCCGGGCCCCCGCGCCCGGGTCGATCAGTCCCTTGATTGGCTGCTCCCCGAGGGCCGTGGCTGCCCCCACCGTCTCAAAGGGGGACAGAGCCACCACGGCAACGTCGGCCAAGGGGGTGTGCAGGGGACCCACGCACTGCTGCTGGGCCACCAGCCCCGTCACCGACCGGTCCACCTGCCACAGGGACACACGGCTCAGGGCAACAGTACCCCTCTGGGGTGAGGTGGGGGAGCAGAGAGCTGGGGCTAGGGGTCAGGGGGCATTTTCCCCTACAGGACAACGACAGAGACGTGGGGTGTGAGGTGGGACTATTCTTAATGTTTCCTCTGAATAGTGTGGGGGTGCCTCAGTTTCCCCTAGGCAGTTCTTAAGTATCTAGGGGGTGGGGTAAGGGTGTAGGATCATTGCAGAGCCCTAGAGGGCATGTGTGTGCAGGAGTCTGGACACAGAGAATGGCCGACACCCTGTTTCCTGGCAACTGATGGCCTGGGCCCTTCCCCCTGCAAGGTGAGAGCTAAAGGGTTGGAGAACAAAGGAATCAGGTGACCACCTGGCCGGAAAGGAACAAAGCCCAGAGGAGGAGGGGCTGGAGGGGAGTTTCAGTTTGGGGCTGGCTGGGACATGGAGTGAAGTGCAGACGTGGTTGTCTGGCTCACTGCCCCCCAAAATGGACCCAGCTGAGGGGTCCCGTTCTCTGCACCTGCAAGCTCTGTGTTAGACCATGTTCCTGTCGTCTAATAAACCTTCTGTTTTACTGGCTGGCTGAGAGTCACGTCTGACTGCGAAGTTGGGGTGCAGGACCCTCTGGCTTCCCCAGGAGCCCCGCCTGAGCGGACTCGCTGTGGGAAGCGCACGGAGGGGCAGAGGATGCTGAATGGTCGAGGGTCAGACCCAGGAAGGTGGAAGCTGAGTGAGCTCGTGTCCTGAAGACAGGCTGCTCACAGAAAGCGATGCCCCAGAGTCTGACTGGCTTCATGGGGAGCAGTTCAGAGCATCGCCAGGGACTCCGTGACATGGGGTCAGGGGGTGCAGGACACTTTCCCCTCCGGGAGGGCAGACACACAGGATCAGGAGGTGTGGGGATATGGCCACTCAGGGGGCAGAGATACAGTGCCAGGGGGCATGAGGCACTCACCCTCTGGCATGGGAGGGCAGAGGCAGGGTGTGATGTTATTGACATAATCTGTAACCGTATAGATCACTGTTGCAACCACTGTTCTATATGGACAGCAAATATTGTACAGAGATTGTCGTGTAAGGTGTCTACGGGAAGGCGATGGTTGGCTGGGCAGGATAATGCTGTCTGTGTGTGTGTATCATTTTTGTAGTTGAAGTTATGAATATTGGCTCTGTCCTGTCTGTAGTTCAAACTTGTGCTGTGCTTCTGGGGGACACCCCAGACAGTTTGGGGTCAGCTCGGCCTAGCCTGCTGGACGGCCCATTAAGGACCATCAGAGATACAACTGACCCATTGAGAGAAGGCAGACACGCCTGGGGACTCAGCCAGGCAGGCAGGGACCTGCCTATGGACCGACCCCTGAGGTGTTTCCAGGCCATGGGCTGGACAGCTTGTCTTTGGGACAAAGAAAGAGACCACACGGCAAGAGACTATGAAGAGCTGCTGCCGCTCCCCCATCTGGTCTTCAATCCTGCTTCTGACCTCTGGAGGACCCCTCCCGGCTGGGGATGCTCTCCAGAGACGGGATTTGAACCTGCAGCTTATTCCACCCCTGCTACAAGCCTGAACCAAGAACTTGGCCATGACTGGATGGAACTGAGTCCATGTAACCAATTCTGGCTCTCATCTCTATCTTGTTTCCTTTTATGAATGAACCTTTAGATTTTAGATTCTAAAGGATTGGCCACAGTGTGATTTGTGGGTAAGATCTGATTTGTAGATTGACCGGGGTCTGGGGCTTGGTCCTTTGGGACCGAGGGAACCTTTTTTCTTTTACTGGGGTATTGGTTTTCATAACCATCTGTCCCCATGACGAGTGGCACTGGTGGGGATACTGGGAAACTGGAGTGTCTAAGGGAATTGCTTGTGTGACTTGTGGTTAGCCGGTGGGGTAAAACCAAAGTCCTCTCTGGCTGGCTGGTTGTCTTTGCCTTGGTGTGCCCAGAAACCCCAGCCTGGGGCTGTAACTGCCCAGCTAAGCAATTTGCCCTGAATTGGCACTCCCGCCCGAACCAGCATCATTCCACAGGGTTGGGGGCACTACCCTCTGAATCGTCACGAGCTCACTTGGGCCACACGGTACCTTGTTGGTCAGGTAGCGTTTGCTGGCCACGGCCGGCAGCCGCAGGACCCGCTCCAGGGCATCCCTCACCCTCAGCCCAGGGGGCAGGCACAGGCGGTGGAGGGCTGGGCTGCTGTGGGACAAGACAAATTCCTGGAGAAAAGATGGGACATTCATGAGTTAATCCAGCAGGGGACGCTGTGGGGAGCAAGCGGGGGGCACTGTCTATGGGGAAAGCTCCCGACTACTCCAGCCCTGGCCTCTCGCAGCAGGGAACGCCGTGGGGGGACAGGGTGGGGGCACTGTCTATGGGGGGAGCTCCCCGCTACTCCGGCCCCGGCCTCTCCCAGAAGGGGGCGCCGTAGGGGAGAGGCTGGGGGTGCCGTCTGTTGAGGGAGCTGCTGGCTCCTTCAGCCCGGCCTCTCCCAGATGGGGCGCCGTGGGGGGGCAGTCTGGGGGGATCTGTGGGTGCGACCCCAGGCGCCCCCCCCGTACCTTTTGTGGCATCTTGCCCAGCACCCACTCCAGCTGCAGGTCGACCGGCATCTTCTTCCCACTGGGCTTCACTCCCACGTCCGTCACTGGGGCCTCCAGGTCGTCCACCAGCACAATCTGAGGGGGGGTAACCCATGGAGGGGTGTCAGTGACGAGTCACAGCCCCCCGAATCTATGCCCCGGTGCGCTGGGGTGTGGAGGGCCAGGGGGCCCAGCGGTTAGCACCCCACCCTCCAGCCCCGCAGAGATGCCTGCTTCCTGCCCCTGGGCTGGGCGTTTGGGCTTCGCCCAAGGGGCTGGAATGAGAGGCTGGGGCGGGGCCGGGGCAGCTGCCTGGCCAAGGGTTCTCCAACCGGAGGGGACACCCTGGGGAAGGCGGCCCGCCCCACTGCCAGCCCCCTCTTACCCCAACCAGCCCATGCCCACCCCACCCTCTCCAGTGTCGGCACCCCCTTCTCCCCACCTCCAGGCCCCATCTCTGCTACCAGGGTCCCCATCCCAGCCTTTGTGCTACACCCCCCCTTTCCTCTCCACAGAGCCCCCCAGTGCCCCTCCCCAGTCCCAGCCAACCCCACCCCCGGCACCGCTCCAGAGACCCAGCCCCGCACGCCTAGAGACCCATCCTCACCCCCACGCCCCTGGCTCAAACCCCGCATGCACAAATCCCCCAATGACCCAGGGCCCCACGATTAGTCCCCGCCCACTGAGCCCTGATGCCCTGTCTCCCCATGTGAGCCACTCCCCACGTATGAGCCCTACCACCCTACCCCTGCAGTCCGAGCACCTCCCCCCCCACGAACCCCATCAGGCCTAGCCACCCGTGCCCTGCTGCCCCACAGAACCGACACCCCTCCAGTAGCCCGTGTGTCCTGTCTGCCCGGTGCAAGCCCCCCCTCCCTGGGGCTCAGCCCACCCTATCCCCCAAGAGTCCTGGCCCCACCTCCTCCACGGCCCCAACCCCCTCCCACCAGTGCCAGTCCAGGCCCTGCTTCCCCCCACACTCCTGGACTCAGGCCTCCCCCCGCTTCCCCACACATGAATCCCAATGATCCCCCAGGCTCAGCTCACACCAGGCCACCCCTCCCCCAGACTCAAGTCCTGGACCCGGGCCCCATGGAGTGGGGAGTATTAACCTGGTAACGGTGCATGGGAGTTTTACTAGCTTACTGTCTTCTGCTAACCCGGGGCGTGCCTCCGTTTCCCTGGGGTGCTGCACCAATACGAGATGGGGATGGGAAAGAAGTGGGGGACTTCCCCGAGGGACGACACTGGACGGCCAGCAGGTAAAGGCTGGCGGCTGCCCTTCGTAACCTGAGCCCAGGCGACCTCTTCTGCCCGGGGAACTGGACAGAGGCTGGAGGAGGGGCCGGAGGGGAGGCTGGGTGAGGCAGCAGGAAGGGGAGTGAGGTTAGGTGGTGGGAGGCCCAGAACCCAGGTCTGTACCTACAAGCTCTGGCTTGGGCTGTGATCCTGTCGGCTAATAAACCTTCTGTGTTCCTGGCTGGCTGAGAGGCAGGGTGAATGGCAGGAAGTGGGGGGTGCAGGGCCCTGACTGCCCCACACTCCGTGACACTCCCACACGCCAGTCCCCCCTCAGCTGCCTGTCCCTAGGCTCAAGCCATCATCACATGCAGCTCCCGGCTGCCCGTCCCTCGGCCCGGTGCCCCCAGCCGCCCCGCCAGCCACAGCCCCGGCCCGGCTCCCCCACACCGGCGCCCGTACCCGTCCGTCCCCGGCGATGGTGCCCACGACGTTCACGGGGCAGCGTTCGCGCTGGCCCAGGCGTTGCAGCAGCGCGGCATCGGTGGGGCGCAGCAGGAGGGCGTTGGACTCCTGGTACTCGGCCCCCCAGATCTCCAGCACGCTCAGCGTGGGGTCACCCAGCTGGGAGGTACATGGGTGTCAGGGAGGGGAGGAGGTTGGAGGCCTGGCGCAGGGTCCCACACACCCAGAAGGGGCCAGAGGGGGAGGGATGTGGGGGGTCCCACATACTCAGGAGTGATGGACAGGGGTGGGGTCAGGGGCTGGGAGCAGTCCTATGGTGAGGTCGGGGGCTGGGGGGAAATCAGGGGTCCCACACACCCTGGAGCCGCCAGCTGGGGGCCGGGAGCATCCCTGCTTGGCAGCCCCACACCACAGCACTGCTGAGGGCAGGGTTGCAGCCAGCCTCATGGGGGTGAGTCGAATATTGAACTGAATATTGGGGATGGGGGGGCTACGGCTGGGCCCAGCCTCAGAGAGGGGAGACTCCTGGTACTTTGCGGGGGGTTGTAGCCTCACCCCTACTATGGAGTGGGGGAGCCATGGGGTCATGCCCAGCTACCCTGAAGCTGGGACAGGCCCACACACCTGGGAGTGGCTGGTATGACGGGGCAGGCTGGGAGGGGAGGGGGTCCCCACACACCTGGGAGCAGTTGGCGTGGGGGGCAGAGGGGTAGGGGGTCCCCACACACCTGGAAACGGCTGGCGTAGATCACAGCCCCGGCTGGGTCACTCAGCTCCTTCAGCACGTTCCCTGGAGGGCGAGACAGGAAGAGTCACCCACTGCTGGGGCACTGGGCCCCCCCACTACGCCCCACCCAGACACTGATCCCCCACCCCACCACCCTGGAACCACTGCCCCCCCCGGCCCTGCCCCCCCTCACCATTGCCCCCAGCCCCCTGGTCGTGGAGGCTGCAGATGGGGTTGGCCTTCCCTGTCTCCACGCAGCCCCGCAGCACCCGGTTCATCTTCTGCTCCATCTCAGGGTCCCCCCCGCTGCACCGCCCCGAAATCCAGGTCGCTGGCGTTGTCACCCTGCACCTGACGGGAGATGGGGGGGGGGGGAGGTCACCTGACACAAATCTTCTGATACAGCCTTGTGACGAAGTGGGACTGTTCTTAATGTTTCCTCTGAATAGTGTGGGGGTGCCTCAGTTTCCCCTAGGCAGTTCTTAAGTATCTCGGGGGTGGGGTAAGGGTGTATGATCACTGCAGAGCCCTAGAGGGCAGGTGTGGGCAGGGGTCTGGACACAGAGAATGGCCGACACCCTGTTTCCTGGCAACTGATGGCCTGGGCCCTTCCCCCCTGCAAGGTGAGAGCTAAAGGGTTGGAGAACAAAGGAACCTGGTGACCCCCTGGCCCGGGAAAGGGACAAAGCCCAGAGCAGGGGGGGCTGGAGGGTTTTTCAGTGTGGGGCTGGCTGGGACATGGAGTGAAGTGCAGACGTGGTTGTCTGGCTCACTGCCCCCAAAATGGACCCAGCTGAGGGGTCCCGTTCTCTGCACCTGCAAGCTCTGTGTTAGACCATGTTCCTGTTGTGTAATAAACCTTCTGTGTTACCAGCTGGCTGAGAGTCACGTCTGACTGCGGAGTTGGGGGGCAGGACCCTCTGGCTTCCCCAGGAGCCCCGCCTGAGCGGACTCGCTGTGGGAAGCGCACGGAGGGGCAGAGGATGCTGAATGGTCCGAGGTCAGACCCAGGAAGGTGGAAGCCGGGTGAGCTGTGTGTCCTGCAGACAGGCTGCTCACAGAAAGGCGACTGCCCCAGAGTCCTGACTGGCTTCATGGGGAGCAGTTCCAGAGCATCGCCCAGGGACTCCGTGACAAGCCTCAACCCCCACAAGCCTAATCCTCCCAGCAGCACCCCAAATCCAGCTCGCCGGTATTGTCCCCCTGCTTCTGGGGGGACAGGGCTCAATCGAACACAGCCCCAATGCCCCTGCTCTCAGGCTGGGGGAAGCATGTGGGGGCACTGTCCAGGCAGTGCTGGACACAGAGGACTGTGGGCCTCGTTGGGAAGTGAGTTGGGGGCATCCTGGGGGTCACAGAGATAGGAGGCCGGGGAGGCCCCACTACAGACATGGTGGGTGAGGACTGCATGGGCCCCACTGTTGGAGGGGGTATGTGGCAGGGTGGGGGTAACACAGGGCCAGAGCTGAGGGGGGCAGGCCCCACTGTGGGAGGGGGCCAAGTAGGCTGCACTGTGGCTTGTGGGGGGGTGACAAGGGGGCAGGGCTGTATGGGGGCAGTGGGCGGGTGTCCCTGGGGGGTAAAATAGGGGGAGTCATGTCAGGGATGTAAGTCGAGCAGTATGGGCAGTGGGTGGGGGTGGGGCTCTACTGACCCTCCATCCCCCCAGCGCCCATAGGGAAACCCCCCGTCCCTGCCCCCCAGGTCACCTCCTCACTCACCTGGATGGAGGAGGCTGAACTCCCCCCAACTCCGATCCGGTACACAGGGCCCCCCACTTTCACCACCTGCATCCCTGGAGGGAGAGCGAACAGTAAGACCCCACAAAACCCACCCCAGCCCCATGGCAAGGCGCTGCCTCTCCCTCACCCCCCTTCGCAAAGAGGGGGAAGCCCTGGGGCCAGACGGCTGCTCCCAGTCAACATGGGGTCTGGGTAGGGTGACCAGACAGCAAGTGTGAAAAATTGGGACGGGGCTGAGGGGTAATAGGAGCCTATATAAGAAAAAGCCCCCAAAAATCAGGACGGTCCCTAGAAAATCGGGACATCTGGTCACCCTAGATCTGGGGGAGGCAGGGCAGGGAGGTTCTTAGGCTGTGGGGGAACTGCACTATGTGGGGGGAGGGGGCAGAGGGGGTTTGCTAGGGAGTGGCACGGAGTGGGGGGGTACTTACCAGGCTTGGGGGGCTCCTTGTGCACGTGAATGTCCTCCATGGCGCCGATCCCCCCGCTGAACATGATGGGCTTGATCCATTCGCGCCGCTGCCCGTTGGGGAGCCGCTGGCCGAAGGAACGGGCGAACCCTGCCCGAGATTGGCGGGGGGCGGGGGTTAGAGCAGAGACACCCCCCCCCGCCTCTCCCCACTGGGCACCACAGCCCTTTAGTGCTTGGCATTTCTCCTGCTCAGGTTGTTATATCCCCCCCACCAGAGCAAGACGCATCCCCTTCCTCCGCTGCCCAGTGTTCCCCAAGGCCGCCCTAGAGCCGGATGCGTCCCCCCTGCCAGGCGCTCCCCAACCCCACCCCAGAGCCAGGCACATCCTCCCTGCCAGGCGCTCCCCAAGCCCGCCGCGTCCCCAACCATCGAAGGACAGACTAGAACCCACAGCCTCCTGGCCGCCCCAGAAGGGCGGGCGAGGGCCAGGCAGGTGCCCCTTCTGAGGGGGGAGCAACAGGGCAGCTCATGGGGTGACTCTCGGGAGCAGGCCCCTGTGAAGATTCAGCTCAGCCCCCACCCGCCAGGATGGGTCCCCCCAAACCCCCAGAACGGCCCCTCCAACACTCACCAGCCAGGACAGGTTCCCCAAACTTATTGCCGTAGTCAGAGGCGCCATCGCTGGCCCTGAGGGCCACCTGCAGGGGCTGGGCGTAGTTCTTGGGGTAGGGCAATGCCGGGTCCTCCCAGGGCAGAGGGTAGCCTGGGGGCAGGGAGAGACGGTCAGGGGTGCCAGCCTGGATGCCGGGCTCCCCAACCCCAAGGGGCGCAAAAGGCAGCCGGACGGCTCAGTTGGCGGCAGGAAAGACGTCTTCTGAACCCAGGTGAAGCCGGGGACTGGACGAGCCGCAGCGCCCTGGGACCAGGACCAGAGCAGGGAGCCCAGCAGGCAGTGCCCCGCGGGGACGGCGGGAGGGGAGACGGAGGGGGTGGGGAGTAACCCAGGGAAGACCCTGCCTCGCAACCGCAGGGTTAGAAGGAGATTGATGGGGGGGGGGGGTGTGACGAAGTGGGACTGTTCTTAATGTTTCCTCTGAATAGTGGGGGGGTGCCTCAGTTTCCCCATGGCAGTTCTTAAGTATCTAGGGGGTGGGGTAAGGGTGTATGATCATTGCAGAGCCCTAGAGGGCAGGTGTGTGCAGGAGTCTGGACACAGAGAATGGCCGACACCCTGTTTCCTGGCAACTGATGGCCTGGGCCCTTCCCCCCTGCAAGGTGAGAGCTGAAGGGTTGGAGAACAAAGGAATCAGGTGACCTCCTGGCCCGGGAAAGGAACAAAGCCCAGAGGAGGAGGGGCTGGGGGGGGGGTTTCAGTTTGGGGCTGGCTGGGACATGGAGTGAAGTGCAGACGTGGTTGTCTGGCTCACTGCCCCCCAAAAAGGACCCAGCTGAGGGGTCCCGTTCTCTGCACCTGCAAGCTCTGTTTTAGACCATGTTCCTGTCGTCTAATAAACCTTCTGTTTTACTGGCTGGCTGAGAGTCACGTCTGACTGCGAAGTTGGGGTGCAGGACCCTCTGGCTTCCCCAGGACCCCGCCTGAGCGGACTCGCTGTGGGAAGCGCACGGAGGGGCAGAGGAGGCTGAATGCTCCGAGGTCAGACCCAGGAAGGTGGAAGCCGGGTGAGCTGTGTGTCCTGCAGACAGGCTGCTCACAGAAAGGCGACTACCCCAGAGTCCTGCCTGGCTTCATGGGGAGCAGTTCCAGAGCATCACCGGGGACTCCGTGACAGGGGGTGATTCCTTTTGAGTCACCAAACAGACCCCCCCCGCAAGCCAGGTGACCCTGGGGTGGGTGCAGGGAGCGTGGAAAGCCAGGCACTGTGGCAGAGCCATGCAGGTCCCGGGCACGCTCTGGTCGCTGCCCTTGGGGAGCAGGCTGGGCACAGAGGAGGGCGGCTATGGCTAGGCAGGCTGGCCGGAGCGGGGGGAAGGGGGGTGTGTCTCGTTATCTGAAAGGCAGGATAAGGGGGGTGACTAGACCTGCAGCCTGAAATTGCCCCCTTTGGGCCAAGGAAAGGGGGCAGGGGGTGGAGAGACAGACGGGCTGAGCCAGCTCCAGGGAGGACAAACCCCAGGCAGGAGAAGTTGGGGGTGTGAAGATGAGGTCAAGGGGGGTCCCAGGGTGGGGAGTGGAGGGTCCCCTGGCCCATGGCCAGGTCGGGGAGGGGCTCAGGGCTGGAGGGATAGTGTCCGGCAGCCTGCTCCCAGGGGCAGGAGGGCCCCCATGAGCCCACAGGGAGGGGGCTGCAGAAGGTGGGCCTGAGGAAGGGGTCCCAGGGCCTGGCAGAGGAAGGGGAGGAGGAGGTGGTGGAGGGGGGCTGTGGCTGGGGGGAAGTGGGGCCCCCCCTACTCTCACCAGGGATGTGCAGGTTTCCGAAGCTGTACCCCGCCGTGCCGGCGATGACGTGGGCCCCACGCCCCGTGCACTGCACGTCCCGGATCCGCCCGCCTGTTCCCGTTGCGGCGCCGCTGAATGGGGCCACCCCTGGGGAGCACACGGGGGTGAGAGCGAGGAGACACCCCTCCTAGGTACCCCCCAAAACACACACCCCAGAGTGCCAGGCCCACAGCCGCCCCACACAGGAGGCCCCTGCACCTCATGGCCTGGGGCAGGCGCACGGAGAGCAGGGAAAGCGTGTAGCATCCACCCCTCCACAGCCCATAACCCCACGTACTGCCACCCGCCCCCCCCCCAGACCCCTGACCCATGGACACCCTCTCACCCCCCCACATTCACTCTCCCCCCCATGGATTTCCCCCAATGTCCCCCCTGCAGACTGCCACACAACCCCCTGGCCATGCCCCCAGGCCACCCCATGGATAGAAGCCCCCCATACATATATATTCCCCTGCACACACACAGCCCTCCTGCCCCCGGCACTGACCCGTGGGGAAGTTGTGGGTCTCTGCAGTGAAGATGACATGCCGGGTCGACTTTCTCTTCTCGAAGCGGCTGGGGCGGGACGGGTCGCGGGGCCACAGGGAACACACGGTCCTGCCCTGGATGGCACTGGGGGGAAAGAACCGGCCACGGCCGTCAGCCACGGAGCCCCACCCCCATCCCTAGCCCAGAGGAAGTGAGAGTTTGAATCCAACCCTGGCCATGAGCTCGAGCCCCATTCCCATCCCCACGGATGGGGGTCCCAGGCAGGCACCTGCTGTTGTCCGAGAACTTGATGACATTGTTGGGGTTGCTCTTCTCCTGGGTCCACATGATGGACTCGAACAGCGACTCCGAGACCTCCTTCCCGTCCACCAGGAGGCGCCCTTTGAAGAACCAGTGTCGGCTGTGCTCGCTGGGGGGCAGGGATAGGGGGGTGAGACAGGCACATGAGGGGCCTTTCCCTCTAGATGGGCGTGGCTCCCATTCGGCCCCAAGGCAGGGACTGGCTGGCCAGAGGGGCAGGGAATGGGGCACGGGGCCTGTCTCCTCTAGGGGATGTTGACTCCAATCCAGCCGCAGGCCAGGGACTGGCTGGCTCAGGGGACTGGCTGGCTCAGGGGTGCTGGGAATGGGACCTCTCCCCTCAAGGGGGCGCCGGCTCCCATCCGGCCCCAGGGCAGGGGACTGGCTGGCTGGGGGGACTCGGTGCCGGTACCTGTTGGACTGGGCCAGGTCGAAGCACTCCACGCTGGTCGGGTTGCGCCCGAATTTCTTGAAGAGCTCAGTGTAGAAATCCAGGTCCCAGGAGTCGAAGGCCAGGCCTGCGGGGGAAAGGGGGTTAGGGTGGAATGGGAGGTGGGCAGAGACCTTTGACCCCCAGCTCTCTCCGTGGTGGGCAGAACCCTCCCCCCACAGGACATCGGGGGGCTCGAACCCAGGCTGCTTGGGACATTGCCTCAGCCACAGCTCTCACCCCACCCCAGTCATTCATCTTGCAGAGCCCCAGCTTCAACCCCTGGGTGTCCATCTCCTCCCCCCCACACGCCCCACCCCAACCTCTGCAGTGTGCTCAGCCGCTCCCCACCCCCCCGCCACACCCAGCTCCCCATGCCCAGCCCCCCAAGCCTGACTCCCATGATACCCAACCACCCCCATTAGTCCAGGTACTCAGCACCCCTGCCCCCCATACCCAGCTCCTGGTTGGCTCGCTCCAGCTCGGTGCGGCCCCCCCCCAGCACATCCACATGCCAGGTGGGGGCAGGGCGGGTAGCCACGGCGAAGCTGCGGATTGGCTCCTCATAGCGCTGCTCCGTCATCCGGTCACTGAGCACCGCCACCAGGGTGGCCTCCTCAGGGGGTGTGGGGTGTCGGGCACACTGCCAGGGAGGATGGGGGTGAGAATGGGGAGCTGTCTCTCCTCCCCTTGGGTGAGAAAGGGGACCCACCACCTGCCCTGCGTGGGTGACAATGGGAACCTCCTGCCCCTCCCCACTGTGGATAGGCACTGGGGGTGGAGGGGGGCTGAGAACTAGGATCCCCCGCATCACCAGGAGCAGGAAGGGGAGACAGACAGACCAAGCCCCCCTGTACCCCCACCTGTAGATCTGGGCATCGGGGGGGGGGGAGCAAGCGGCCCAGAAACTGCCTCCCACCCCAGAGCCCCCATTAACCCCACAATGCCGGAACCTCCCCACCCGCAGGCCTCCCCACCCATCCCCCAGGGGTCATCCCCTCCGTTCCCCGGGGTCCCACATCCCCCCTCACCTGCAGCAGGTAGCGGCGGGAGCACTCGACACGGTCAACACAGCCCAGCCCCGCGGCCCGGCACACGGACACCACGTTGGTGGAGAACGCCGTGGAGAAGTTCAGCCTGCGCCAGGAAAGGGTTAACAGTCCCGGGAGACACAGCCCCAGCCCCACAGCTGCCCCTCCACTCCACAGCACCCTCCACTAAGCCTCTCACCCCGCTCCCTGCGGCACAGCGCCCCCTAGCCCTCACTGGGGCCAGCCCTGTCTGCCAGGGGAGAGCACCCCTTACTGAGCCCCTGGCCCGCTCCCTGCGGCACAGCACCCCCGATTCAACTCCCGGCCCCCAAGGCACGGAGCCCCCTGCTGAGCCCTGAGACGCACCGTGGCCCGATCTCCACCAGCAGGTCGGTGGGCCCTGGGCACAGGAAGGACTCCGTGGCAACGTCTCCGGATTCAAAGGGGCAGCCGAAGAGCCAGTGCAGCAGCTGGGTCTCCTGGGGATTGGGGGGCGACGCACCTGCAGGGGAGAAATGGGGCTGATACCCAGCAGGCAAGGGGGCTGAGGGGTCCTGCCAGGTAGGGGAGCCCCCATGGGACATGATGCCCACTTCTGTTCCTAACGTCCTGTTTGCTTTTTGACGGCACGTCGAGGGGATGTTTTCAGAGAACTCGCCACAATGGCTCCGCAATCTCTTTCTTGAGTGGTAACAGCTAATTTAGACCCCGTCATTTTGTGTGCAGAGTTGGGGTGATGTTTTCCAGCGTGCATTACTTTGCATTTATCAACACTGAAATTCACCTGCCATTTTGATGCTCAGTCACCCACTTTAGGCCTTGCTGGAGCCCTGGGCTTAACTAACAGTGTGACCCAAAGGCTGTGAACCAGAGGAGGCCGGGCCTTGGCAAAACAACACCACACTAGGCATTGGCTATCCAGGAAAGCACAGGCCTGACCAGAGAGGATGGAACAAGAACACCCAGAGTTCTCAAGGAGCGACGTGAACACATTCCTAAGAGACGGGACAGGAACACGGCAACCCCCTCCGAAGATAAGGGGGGGCTGACAGGAGAATGGTTTGTTCAAAGCAGCAGGTACGAGGAGAAGGGTGGTCACTAACAACGTCTGGAGCGAAATGCGTAACTTGTTTGTACCGAAGTCACCGGAACGGCCTCTTTGTCCAGCCGAGGGGACGGTGTCCGGACTGAGCTGGTACCATTGTCGCGGGCACACCTGGGTTAGTGCACTTGTCACCACAGAGCCAGGGCACTAGTACTGGGCTTCGTCAACAAGACACCGACCCGAGCGCCTTGGCCACTGAACCGAGCCGGTGGTCCTTCTCGCAGCTGAAGCGTGGGGGGGGCGGCGCGGGATGCGGGGCTACATGCCCCCCCCCAGATTGCTCAATTACAGGATGTGTTTGGGCTCCCTCCCTGCTGAGCAGCTGAGCCAGGAGCTGCCCCAGGCAGGGAGAGGCAGAGGAGCAGCTGGGAGCTGCACGGGAGAAGGAGGGTGCTGGCGGGAGGGGGGGGGTGGACCATGCGATCGTGGCCCTGCCCCGTCCACTCCCCCGGGGGCGCCCGGCTCTGGCCGCTGTCGGAAGACAGGACGCTGGGCTGGACGCACCTTTGGCTCCGACCCAGCCTGGCCGCTCGTCAGACTGGCCCCACCCTTTGGGGGTTCCAGGAGCAGCTGCTCCAAGAAGCCTCGTTGCCCCCCCCCGCCCGTACCTGTCCAGCTGACGTTGTAGCACAGCTCCCTGTGCAGGGCGCGGACGCCCCCCAGCACCGCCTGGGCCGAGCGCAGCAGGGAGACAGGGACACCCTCCGCCCCGGGGCGCTGGAAGTAGTGCAGCACCGCCATGGCGGGGTCCTGGGGGGGGGAGAACAGGGTCAGTGTCCAGCCAGAGGGCACCCCCCCACTGCGCCCCCCACAGAGACCCCCCACTGTAACCCCCACAGGACCCCTACACAGCCACACAGTGCCCCCCACAGCGCCCCCCACACCACCCACAGCGACCCCCCCACACACCCCCCACAGCGCCCCCCATAAACCCCACCGCACCCTCCAGCGCCCCCTTTACCCTCACAGCACCCCCCACTCCCACAGCGCCCCCACAAACCGCCCCCAGCGCCCCCCATACACCCCCCACAACCCCCACAGCGCCCCCCACCACCCACAGAGACCACCCAGAGCGCCCCACACCCCCCCAAGCGCCCCCCATACACCCCCCACAGCGCCCCCCACAACCCCCCCACAGCGACCCCCACAGCGCCCCCACCACAGCGCCCCCCCACAGCGCCCCCCGCACCCCCCCACAGCGCCCCCCTTACACCACCCACAGAGACCCCCCCCAGCGACCCCCCCATACACCCCACAGCGCCCCCCCACACCCCCCACAGAGACCACCCCACAGCGCCCCCCCATACACCCCCACAGCGACCCCCCCATACACCCCCCCACACCCCCACAGCGCCCCCATACACCCCCCACAGCGCCCCCCCATACACCACCCACAGAGACCCCCCCACAGCGCCCCCCCACACCCCCATACACCCCCCACAGCGACCCCCCCACAGCGCCCCCCCCAGCGCCCCCCCCATACACCACCCACAGAGACCACCCCACAGCGCCCCCCATAAACCCCACCGCACCCTCCAGCGCCCCTTTACCCTCACAGCACCCCCCACTCCCACAGCGCCCCCACAAACCGCGCCCAGCGCCCCCCCATACACCCCCACAACCCCCACAGCGACCCCCCACACCACCCACAGAGACCACCCAGAGCGCCCCCCACACCCCCCACAGCGCCCCCCATACACCCCCCACAGCGCCCCCCACAACCCCCACAGCGACCCCCCACAGCGCCCCCACCACACCACCCACAGCGCCCCCCCCCACAGCGCCCCCGCACCCTCCACAGCGCCCCCCTTACACCACCCACAGAGACCCCCCCAGCGACCCCCTATACACCCCACAGCGCCCCCCACACCCCCCCACAGCGCCCCCCACACCCCCATACACCCCCCCACAGCGCCCCCCCATACACCCCCCACAGCGACCCCCCACACACCCCACAGCGCCCCCCCACACCCCCACAGAGACCACCCCACAGCGCCCCCCATACACCCCCCACAGCGCCCCCCCCATACACCCCCCACAGCGACCCCCCACACACCCCACAGCGCCCCCCCCACACCCCCCACAGAGACCACCCCACAGCGCCCCCCCCATACACCCCCCACAGCGACCCCCCAGCGACCCCCCCATACACCCCCCACACCCCCCACAGCGCCCCCCATACACCCCCCACAGCGCCCCCCCATACACCACCCAGAGACCCCCCCACAGCGCCCCCCCCCACACCCCCATACACCCCCCACAGCGACCCCCCCACAGCGCCCCCCCATACACCACCCACAGAGACCACCCCACAGCGCCCCCCATAAACCCCACCGCACCCTCCAGCGCCCCTTTACCCTCACAGCACCCCCCACTCCCACAGCGCCCCCACAAACCGCCCCCAGCGCCCCCCCCATACACCCCCCACAACCCCCACAGCGACCCCCCACACCACCCACAGAGACCACCCAGAGCGCCCCCCACACCCCCCACAGCGCCCCCCATACACCCCCCCGCACCCTCCAGCGCCCCCTTTACCCCCCCGCGCGGCCAACCGACCTCATGGAATCAAACCCCGTTTTCCCGCCGCTGTTCGTCACGCCGGGGCCGGGGGCGGGGGCGGGGCCGGGGCCGGGGGCGGGGCTCCCCTGTGACTCCGCCCCCCGCTGGGCGGGGGGAGCAGCGCGGCGGCCTTTGCGATCACCCCCCCCCCCCCGGCAGGAGGGGCCCCCCCGAAATCCCTCCCCACAGCATGGCCACGGCGTTTCCTCTATACCCAGAGTGGGGGGGGCCACGGCGTCTCCCCGATACCCGGAGTGGGGGGGTCACGGCGTCTCCCCGATACCCGGACTGGGGGGGTCACGGCGTCTCCCCTATACCCAGAGTGGGGGGGGTCACGGCGTTTCCTCTATACCCAGACTGGGGGGGTCACGGCATCTCCCCGATACCTGGAGTGGGGGGGGTCACGGCGTCTCCCCTATACCCGGAGTGGGGGGGGTCACGGCGTCTCCCCTAGACCCGGAGTGGGGGGGGGTCACGGCATCTCCCCAATACCCAGAGTGGGGGGGGTCACGGCGTCTCCCCTAGACCCAGAGTGGGGGGGGGGGGTCACGGCGTTTCCTCTATACCCAGACTGGGGGGGTCACGGCATCTCCCCGATACCCGGAGTGGGGGGGTCACGGCATCTCCCCTATACCCAGAGTGGGGGGGGTCACGGCGTCTCCCCTAGACCCGGAGTGGGGGGGGGTCACGGCATCTCCCCAATACCCAGAGTGGGGGGTCACGGCGTCTCCCCTATACCCAGAGTGGGGGGGTCACGGCGTCTCCCCTAGACCCGGACTGGGGGGGGGGGTCACGGCGTTTCCTCTATACCCAGACTGGGGGGGTCACGGCATCTCCCCGATACCCGGAGTGGGGCGGGTCACGGCGTCTCCCCTATACCCAGAGTGGGGGGGGTCACGGCGTCTCCCCGATACCTGGAGTGGGGGGGGTCACGGCGTCTCCCCTATACCCGGAGTGGGGGGGTCACGGCGTCTCCCCTAGACCCGGAGTGGGGGGGGGGGGGGGTCACGGCATCTCCCCAATACCCAGAGTGGGGGGGTCACGGCGTCTCCCCTATACCCAGAGTGGGGGGGTCACGGCGTCTCCCCCTAGACCCGGACTGGGGGGGGTCACGGCGTTTCCTCTATACCCAGACTGGGGGGTCACGGCATCTCCCCGATACCCGGAGTGGGGGGGTCACGGCATCTCCCCTATACCCAGAGTGGGGGGGGGTCACGGCGTCTCCCCAATACCCGGAGTGGGGGGGGTCACGGCGTCTCCCCTATACCCGGAGTGGGGGGGTCACGGCGTCTCCCCTATAACCGGAGTGGGGGGGGTCACGGCGTCTCCCCTAGACCCGGAGTGGGGGGGGGTCACGGCATCTCCCCAATACCCAGAGTGGGGGGGGTCACGGCGTCTCCCCTATACCCAGAGTGGGGGGGGTCACGGCGTCTCCCCTAGACCCGGACTGGGGGGGGGTCACGGCGTTTCCTCTATACCCAGACTGGGGGGGTCACGGCGTCTCCCCGATACCTGGAGTGGGGGGGTCACGGCGTCTCCCCTATACCCGGAGTGGGGGGGGTCACGGCGTTTCCTCTATACCCAGAGTGGGGGGGGGCCACGGCGTCTCCCCGATACCCGGAGTGGGGGGGTCACGGCGTCTCCCCTAGACCCGGAGTGGGGGGGTCACGGCGTCTCCCCTATACCCAGAGTGGGGGGGGTCACGCCGTCTCCCCGATACCTGGAGTGGGGGGGGTCACGGCGTCTCCCCCTATACCGGAGTGGGGGGTCACGGCGTCTCCCCTAGACCCGGAGTGGGGGGGTCACGGCGTCTCCCCTATACCCAGAGTGGGGGGGGTCACGGCGTTTCCTCTATACCCAGACTGGGGGGGTCACGGCATCTCCCCGATACCTGGAGTGGGGGGGTCACGGCGTCTCCCCTATACCCGGAGTGGGGGGGTCACGGCGTCTCCCCCTAGACCCGGGAGTGGGGGGGGGTCACGGCATCTCCCCAATACCCAGAGTGGGGGGGGTCACGGCGTCTCCCCTATACCCAGAGTGGGGGGGGGGTCACGGCGTTTCCTCTATACCCAGACTGGGGGGGTCACGGCATCTCCCCGATACCCGGAGTGGGGGGGTCACGGCATCTCCCCTATACCCAGAGTGGGGGGGTCACGGCGTCTCCCCTAGACCCGGGAGTGGGGGGGGGGTCACGGCATCTCCCCAATACCCAGAGTGGGGGGGTCACGGCGTCTCCCCTATACCCAGAGTGGGGGGGGTCACGGCGTCTCCCCTAGACCCGGACTGGGGGGGGGTCACGGCGTTTCCTCTATACCCAGACTGGGGGGTCACGGCATCTCCCCGATACCCGGAGTGGGGCGGGTCACGGCGTCTCCCCTATACCCAGAGTGGGGGGGTCACGGCGTCTCCCCGATACCTGGAGTGGGGGGGGTCACGGCGTCTCCCCTATACCCGGAGTGGGGGGGTCACGGCGTCTCCCCTAGACCCGGAGTGGGGGGGGGTCACGGCATCTCCCCAATACCCAGAGTGGGGGGGGGTCACGGCGTCTCCCCTATACCCAGAGTGGGGGGGGTCACGGCGTCTCCCCTAGACCCGGACTGGGGGGGGGTCACGGCGTTTCCTCTATACCCAGACTGGGGGGGTCACGGCATCTCCCCGATACCCGGGAGTGGGGGGGGTCACGGCATCTCCCCTATACCCAGAGTGGGGGGGTCACGGCGTCTCCCCAATACCTGGAGTGGGGGGGGGTCACGGCGTCTCCCCTATACCCGGAGTGGGGGGTCACGGCGTCTCCCCTATAACCGGAGTGGGGGGGGTCACGGCGTCTCCCCTAGACCCGGAGTGGGGGGGGGTCACGGCATCTCCCCAATACCCAGAGTGGGGGGGGTCACGGCGTCTCCCCTATACCCAGAGTGGGGGGGTCACGGCGTCTCCCCTAGACCCGGACTGGGGGGGGGTCACGGCGTTTCCTCTATACCCAGACTGGGGGGGTCACGGCATCTCCCCGATATCCGGAGTGGGGGGGGTCACGGCGTCTCCCCTATACCCAGAGTGGGGGGGGTCACGGCGTCTCCCCGATACCTGGAGTGGGGGGGGTCACGGCGTCTCCCCTATACCCGGAGTGGGGGGGGTCACGGCGTCTCCCCTAGACCCGGAGTGGGGGGGGTCACGGCATCTCCCCAATACCCAGAGTGGAGGGGGTCACGGCGTCTCCCCTATACCCAGAGTGGGGGGGGTCACGGCGTCTCCCCTAGACCCGGACTGGGGGGGGTCACGGCGTTTCCTCTATACCCAGACTGGGGGGGTCACGGCATCTCCCCGATACCCGGAGTGGGGGGGGTCACGGCGTCTCCCCTATACCTGGACTGGGGGGGGTCACGGCGTCTCCCCTAGACCCGGACTGGGGGGGTCACGGCGTTTCCTCTAGACCCGGACTGGGGGGGTCACGGCGTCTCCCCGATACCCGGAGTGGGGGGGGGTCACGGCGTCTCCCCGATACCTGGAGTGGGGGGGGTCACGGCGTCTCCCCTATAACCGGAGTGGGGGGGTCACGGCATCTCCCCTATACCCGGAGTGGGGGGGGTCACGGCGTCTCCCCTAGACCCGGACCGGGGTGGGGGGTCACGGCGTCTCCCCTATACCCGGAGTGGGGGGGTCACGGCGTCTCCCCAATACCCGGACCGGGGAGGGGGGTCACGGCGTCTCCTCTATACCCAGGCTGGGGGGGGGGGTCACGGCATCTCCCCTGTACCCGGAATGGGGGGGTCACAGTGTCTCCCCTATAACCGGACCGGGGGGGGTCACTGCTTCTCCCCTATACCCAGACTGGGTGGGGGTCCCGGCATCTCCCCTGTACCCGAACTGGGGGGGTCACGGCATCTCCCCCGGCGCCGCTCCCATAGCCGCCCGCTGTCCAGGGCAGGCAGGGGTGCTCCGGGGCAGGCGCGAGAGGCAGAGACCCGGCCCCGTCCAGGTGATTCCTGCCTCTGGAGCAAGTTCTCTGCCAACGAAGGACGGACGGACAGACCCATCCCAGCTGTGGGTGCGTGCCAGAGGGACTGCCAAGCCCGGAAACCCGCCCGTGCCAAGATCTGTGTGTATGCGAGCGCTTTACCATTTCTCTAGTCGCTCCTTCTTCTTTCTTTCTTCTCTAACATAAACGTTTAGCTTTAGATACTCAAAGTACCAGCCCATCCTTTAGTAAGATCCAACCTCATCCTGACCTGGCAACGTGGTTGGCCCTTTGGGGTCAGAAGAACATCTTGTACAGTGAGCAGAGTTTTTAAATAACTTCTCACTGTACGGGACCTCGGTGCTGATTGGGAGCCAGAGAACTGGAAGGCAATAAAGGGGGCTGTGTGATTTTTTTTTTTTCCTGCTTCTTGATAACCAGTGAGGGGGAACAGGAGCACAGTTTGTGACTGGTTGGTGAGTCTAACTTCAGTGTTAACCACCAGTTTTGGGAGTAGATGGTATATGCCTTTTGCAGCCTTCCCTGACCTTGGCATTTTCATACAATCATAGAAGATCAGGGTTGGAAGGGACCTCAGGAGGTATCTAGTCCAACCCCCTGCTCAAAGCAGAACCAATCCACAACTAAATCATCCCAGCCAGGGCTTGGTCAAGCCAGGCCTTAAAAACCTCTAAGGAAGGAGATTCCACCACCTCCCTAGGGAACCCATTCCAGTGTTTCACCACCCTCCTAGTGAAAAAGTTTTTCCTAATACTTAATATCCTAATATCCAACCTAGACCTCCCCCACTGCAACTGGAGACCATTACTCCTCGTTCTGTCATCTGCTACCACTGAGAACAGTCTAGAACCATCCTCTTTGGAACCCCCTTTCAGGGAGTTGAAAGCAGCTATCAAATCCCCCCTCATTCTTCTCTTTCGCAGACTAAACAATCCCAGTTCCCTCAGCCTCTCCTCATAAGTCATGTGTTCCAGTCCCCTCATCATTTTTGTTGCCCTTCGCTGGACTCTTTCCAATTTTTCCACATCCTTCTTGTCGTGTGGGACCCAAAACTGGACACAGTACTCCAGATGAGGCCTCACCAATGTCGAATAGAGGGGAACGATCACGTCCCTCGATCTGCTGGTAATGCCCCTACTTATACATCCCAAAATGCCATTGGCCTTCTTGGCAACAAGGGCACACTGCTGACTCATATCCAGCTTCTCGTCCACTGTCACCCCTCGGTCCTTTTCTGCAGAACTGCTGCCGAGCCATTCGGTCCCTAGAGTGTAGCGGTGCATGGGATTCTTCCGTCCTAAGTGCAGGACTCTGCACTTGTCCTTGTTGAACCTCATCAGATTTCTTTTGGCCCAATCCTCCAATTTGTCTAGGTCCCTCTGTATCCTATCCCTACTCTCCAGCGTATCTACCACTCCTCCCAGTTTAGTGTCCTCTGTAAACTTGCTGAGGGTGCAATCCACGCCATCCTCCAGGTCATTAATGAAGATATTAAACAAAATTGGCCCCAGGACCGACCCTTGGAGCACTCCACTTGATACTGGCTGCTAACTAGACATGGAGCCATTGATCACTCCACGCTGAGCCCGACAATCTAGCCAGCTTTCTATCCACCTTATAGTCCATTCATCCAGCCCATACTTCTTTAATTTGCTGGCAAGAATACTGTGGGAAACCATATCAAAAGCTTTGCTAAAGTCAAGATATATCATATCCACTTTTTCCCCCATGTCCACAGAGCCAGTTATCTCATTATAGCACCAGAGGGGTAGCTGTGTTAGTCTCTATCCACAAAAACAACGAGGAGTCTGGTGGCACCTTAAAGACTAACAGATTGATTTGGGCATAAGCTTTTGTGGGTAAAAACCCCCTTCTTCAGGTGCATGGAGTGAAAATTACAGCTACAGGCATAAATACATACTGGCACATGAAGAGAAGGGTATTACCTCACAAGTGGAGAACCAGTGCTGACAAGGCCAATTTAGTCAGGGTGGATGTGATCCACTCCCAATAATTGATGAGCAGGTGTCTCTTGGTAGCGTCGATTGGTGGGCCCGGGGAGGAGTTATAAAGGGTTAATAGAACATATGCACACAAATGATGGCAAAGCCCTTAGATCAGGTTTGGGGCAGTGAGGGAATAGATTGCTGGTTTGCAAAAGTCTCTCTGGGCACTGCAAAAAGAATGGACGGTCTTCAGTCCATTGTGCAAAACACCCCTTTTACTTGTATATCCACAGTCCGGAGGATTGGAGCAGGAAGGAGGTCAAGCAGTGATGTCTCAGCTCGCAATTTATCGCCTAGCCCAGTGCAGGTGCATGGAAAGTTACTGGCCCAATTTGGAGTCCAGGCTCACATGATCATATTAGTAAATATTTCCACGGCTGCTGATAGTCCTATCTTGACTAATGATGGTATGTCCAAGGAATATGATTTTATACATTTTACGAATGAATTTAAATTGTATTTCGCATGATTAGTTCTGTGATTTCATTTGCTCACCTAGTACTTCGCAAAGGTCCAGGTTGACTCTTGTGAGATGTGGGCACGGGTGCCCTGGCTTCCAGAAGAAACTAATGAAGAAAACCTATTGGAGAAGAGGAAAGCGTATAGGCTGCCCACCTGGGAAGGGGACGGGCAGATGATGACAATGAAGGGGAAACGTGAAAGGATCTCGGTGCTCACTCCTCGGGATGTGGGGATGGGAATCGAGTATCGTTCAGCTATGTTTCTGCTTCAATAAACGCGACCAGAATCCAGTCTCCATGTGTTCCTGTGCGTGGCTTGATCCTGCCTGAAACGCAGAAGGGATTCCCCCACACTTTCTACCTTATCTCCCGAGAACAAGCAAATAACCCCTCCTTGGTCATAAGGATGACTTAGAAAGCGGCCCTTTAAATGTCACCTTACTTTAACTTTACACTGTTTTCTTTGTACTATGTTTAAAAGCTGCATTTGTAATTGAAATTTGTGCTTTGCATGGTATTTTTGATAGACGTTGAATTGCTATCGCGAACAAATGGTCACTCAAAGCAGGTAAACATTCATGTTTTCAGGAAGAGACCCAGTTGCAACAACGTGTTATAAGAACAATAAATGAAGTCATAAAGTGCATCTTTTAGCCTTCTTCTTTGCAAAGGAAAAACCTCAGCTTAACCCTGCACGCAGAACTTGAGAAATATCCTTATTGAAATTCATTTATTTCGTAAACCCACTGAAGTCGTCATTCTTGAAACTTGGAGAACGTGTACGGTGAGAAACGTTTTATACATCACGTTTTATACATCACGTGTCTTCTACATCACATTTCCAATGAAAGGTTTTGCTGTTTATCAAATGCTTAAGATGGAATAAACGTCTTTTGAAATGTATATTTGCAAGTATTTTGTATCTAAATGCAAACGTTCGTGCCTGATCTCATTGTTTATATAAAGAAGAGGAGGACCTGTGGCACCTTAGAGACTAATAAATTAGGTTTGGGATCCTCTGACCAAAGCCAAGGTGTAAAGTCAACGAAAGAGTGAACACAACCAACTTTGAATCTCAGCACGCCTGAAGGAGGGGGGGGGAGGTTTCCCATCATTTCATGAACATCAGAAGGGTATAAAAGAATCCTGCTTGGATAGCAAGCACACCCCATCCAGCTCTGTAAGCAAGCTGCCACAGACCACTAAGCAAAACAGAGAAGACTCAAGAAGAATCTAACCCAAGGAAAACCTCCCCAAAACCTCAACGTGGATCGGCAAGAGAACGTTAACTGAGGGCTTGTCTACACCTGCAGTTGCTTTGCTGTAGCTATACCAAGAGGAGAGCGTCTCCCACGGGCGTAGGTACGCCACTTCCCTGAAAAGCGCTGTCTACACTGGGAGTTAGGTCAGTATAACTACATTGCTCAGGGGTGTGGATTTTCCACACCCCGGAGCAATGCACTTACACTGACATGAGTTTGTTGTGTAGACCAGGGCTGGGACAACGCCAGGGGTTTAGATTTGAACTCGTGTTTTGATTTTATTGGAATTTGAAAGTGGTGTTGTCACTTAAAATACAAACAGTTTCTCAAGTGGTCAGACCATGACTTACTGGAGATGAGAAAAGGGCTAAACATTGATAAACAGAGAAATAGCGGGATTTAAAATTCTTGATATTCATAATTGGTCTGTTTGAAAACAGGTCCTTAAATGGCGTCTTCTAATGAACAGATCTGAATATTTTCTTCATTTTCATAGGGTTTAGCTACAATTTGTCACTTTGCCCAATTATAAACGGGCTGGTTATTCGTTAATAACCTACAGGTACACCTGCCCTTAAAGCAAATTATTTTGCCCATTTATAAACATTCTTAGTTGTCTAAGGATATACCAGAGAACGGAATCCCCATAATTTTGAGAAACAATATACCTTGGTCTCAACGTACCTGGAGAAAAGTACCCCTGTAAAGCTGAGCCTACTCTAATAGGGTTAAAAACTCTCCACGGAGAGGCATACAAAAAAGATTGTAACAGAAATAACGTGGAAGCCAGTACCTTGAGTTGCAGTAAGATAAACAATTAGTCGAGCTCGCCTCCCCTCTCTCATTTCTCTAAGCCAAATGTTTGTTCGTAATTTTTAAAAGAAAATTACTTTGTTTCCAACAGTTGAAATGACCCCTTTCAGCCCCCCAGGAGAATGTAAGGAGGACAAACTCTGTGTAGCTCAGGCAGAAGCTGCTGCTGCCGGGCGGGGGCCAGACGGTGATGGGGAAAGAGCAAATCTCTCAGACTCACCCCAGTCAGCTTGCAGGTGGGGGGTGGGCTGGAGGAGAAACAGTATAAAAATGATGCCCGTGGACTTGAGGCCGAGATAGATTTGACCTCAGTGTGGCTAGTTGAGATCAGCTCTGTCGTCCGCACCGGGGGCGGATGGACATTCCTGGTAGGAGGGGGACACACTCCCATGACTAATGGGACAGAAGACTTGATAGAAAGGATCATGGGATTTACCGGAGGGCAAGCTGTAAAAGCAAGCGACTCCCCTGCGAGACCACAGTGAGCGAATGGTGCAAACACCCTTTCAAGGCCACTCTGCGGGAGGCAAAACCTTTGTCCAGGCCTTTATATGGTTCGTCTCCCTTGGGGATCCGCTGGTGTTTAATGAGGGCTGAGCTCTGAGTGAAGCGTTTCCCGCACTCAGAGCACATATAGGGTCCCTCTCCCGTGTGAATTCTCTGATGTGCCACAAGGTTGGAGCTCTGTTTGAAGCTTCTCCCACAGTCGGCGCATTTATAAGGGTTCTCGCCGGTGTGGGTGCCCTGGTGTCGCATAAGGTGTGAGCTTACCGAGAAGCTTTTCCCGCACTCGGCACATTCATAGGGGGTCTCTCCTGGGTGGATCCTTTGGTGTGTAACAAGGGCTGAGCTCCGGTGGAAGCTTTTCCCACGCTCGGAGCGTTTGTAAGGTCTCTGCCCCGGGTGGAGTCTCTCGTGTATAAGAAGGTCTGAGGGGTAACTGAAGTTTTTCCCACACTCGGTGCATGGGTTTTTTCTCTTTGCCGTGGGGATTCGCTGCTGGGCTGTGATTGCTTTGAGGTTCTTGTGAGTTCGCTGACAATTAGTGGATTTATCCACTTTCTCCCGTGGCTGGTTTCCCTGTTGCTGCTCTGGCCTGTGCTGACTCTCACAAGCTTTTCCCTGCTCACAACGTCCGGACACATTCCCTGTGGATGTCCGCGATAATCCTCCATGTGCTTCCACTTGCTCAGCGTCTTCCTCCTGAAGGTTCTGCTCCGCGTTCTCACCCACCATCGAATCACCTGCTGGGACAGCGAGAAAGAATCCAGCGATCAGTCATTCCCTGGGCCCAGCCAAAAGGGGAAAGGCTCGCGGGGCAACAAACCGAAGGAAGTGCTGTGGAGATTGAAAGAATTAGGAGCTGAATCCCTGACACTCCTCCCCTTAAGGGAGAGAGGCAGGGATCAATTCTGCCCTCACATCCCCTCGAACACTCAGGGGGAAGGGAGACCTGGGAGGGAGCTGCAGCCAGGCATCGGACTGGATAGGGAGGAAGCCATGAGCGATATCTGCCCCGAGGCTACGACACCTGCAGGAGACAATCCTGAGCTCAGAGAGTGGGTTTAATGAATTCACCCGTGCAGACGCCTCGCAGACTCTGTCTTTCCTTGGAGCCCTGGAGCTCCGGGACCCAGGGTTCTTCCCCTTTTCCCAGCTGGGAGATCACATCCGTTTTGGAAATCGGCAACCCTGTTCAAAGGGAAAGAAAACAAGTGAGACTGGGTGAATTCATGGGGCATTTGTAACCGGGAAAGTTCTACTGTTTTAACCCCGGGTTATTTCTAAACAGTAACATTCTGGGCCCAGCCCCCCAGGTAATCCAAGAGTATCTGTGCTCTGCTGAGAACACACACAGCCAGACACTCATCACGAAAGGGGGTTCCTAAAACTCAGAGACGGCATCTCTATGTCCCAGCCAGAGCGGGGAGTCACCCTGGGACTGCTTTATACTGACACAGAGAGGCCCCGTGGCAATGAGAGACTCACCAGGAAGCTGGGACCAGTGAGGATGGGCTGGTGGGTTTGGCGCAGTAAGGAACAGGGGCTTTCACTGAATGCAGCAGCTGAGGGCATGGGAGGCCAAGAAAGCCCCTTTTGAGGAATTAGGGAACATAGTGAGTCAGATGCAGTGGAAGGGATTCGGAAGATCCCCAAGTGTGTGGAGGAGGCTGGGGAATCAGTCACGATAAACTGGAGACTCATCTGCTGGGGATGACAGAGGAGAAAGACCTGGGTGTATTAGTCACTCAGAGGATGGATTATAAGACACCAATGTGAAAGGCAAAGGTAATCCTCGGCTATATCGGGGGAGGAACTGGTAATGAGCAGCTGAAAGTCAAGTGCATAAAGAAGCTGAAAATGGCTGAGCACTGAAAAAATTGGACGGCAAGAGATGGCAAATCTCCGTGATGATTGAACCTGGAGATCAACAAGACGAGCTCTCGTTGACCCTGTTAGCTGCTGCTGTCACAGCAGCCTGATTCAACAGGCGTTTTAGGCTTCAGAGCGGTGTTTGGGGCTATTGAGCCTGCCGGTTGCGTTGTGTGGGGGTGATCTGGGCGTAGGAGGGGCTGGGCTGGGAAATTGGTGTTGGTTTGGGAAGGAGGTGGACGGCCGGTGCTCGCTGGGGTGAGGGGCTACGCATGTTTGGAGTTATTATGGGTGTGCGGTGTGGATTGGTGTGAGTGGTGTGTGCTGCGGTGAGGGGCTCTCACATTTCGGCGCATTGCGGAGGCCGGCTGTGTAACTCTCTCACTGTTCGCCACAGTGCCGACTGCAAGCCTGGATAAAAAGAGGAGAATTCTTCGACCCGCTCATGGAGAACTTTGCTGTACGTACTTTGTGAACTACAGGAAACTGTGTGACAAAGCTCTGTCCTTGCCTCCGTGGGTCCCACGTTTCCTGGCGGGTTTCGCTAGCCTCAGAGGCTCACTGTGACCCTCCACGTAACCTTTCTTTCTCTAGAGACAAGGGTCACAGTCTACTGAGCCGTTTTCATCATAAGCCAGCGAGGGAGGTGAGGAGAAGTTATCCTTCCTTGCACAGTCTCTGTTGTCTCCCAGTCTCAGTGATTAATCAGGGGGCAAAGGTGGCAGGCGGGGAGCCCGGGCCCACCCTCTACTCCGGGCTCCAGCCCAGGGACCCTAATAGTATCAGCTATGGTAGCTGACCTTTTAGAAACATGACCTGTACAATTCCCTGGGCTACTTCTCCCACAGCAGCCCTCACTTCCTCAAGCTCCACTTCACCCTTACCTAAGGGCCTCCTTCCTTGTGCCTGATATGGTGTGTACTACTCAGCCTCTCCAACAGCGCAACTTCCTCCCACAGCTCCTGACATGCACACCCACCTGACTGACTGGGAGGCTTTTAACTAGTTTCATCCAGCCCCTGATTGGCTTCAGGTGTCCCAATCAACCTAGCCTTCTCCCTGCCTTCTGGAAAGTTCTTAATTGGCCCCAGGTGTCTTAATTGACCTGGAGCAGCTTCCATTTCACTTATCCTGGTACCAGGGATTTGTTTAGCCTGGAGCTAATATATCTATCTCCCACTACTTTTCTATAGCCATCTGGCCTTGCCCCGTCACAGCTGACACAGTTTCCGCGAGAAATGAGAGAATACTTGGTGTCAGTGGGATGTGATGGACTGGGCGTGGGGAGGTGTTGTCTGAGGGGGCAACGATCTTATACTCAGCAGGATGAACCCATGACAGACGTGTAGGAATGACGCTGGGTAACATCACAACTGTCAAGGCTGAATCCCCACTCTGGCACTCCGAGTGCGGAAGCTGGGGGCCCGCAAGGATTCTAAAAATTCATACGGGCCTCTCCAGGCTGGTATTAAACTCCCAGGGTTACAGCTTCTCTCTGACCTTGGCTTGGTAAACGCTGCCACCACCCAAATGCAAAAAAAACCCTTTGATATAGCCGAGGATTACCTTTGCCTTTCAATGCAAACGAAAGGGTTCGAATGCAACCCTTTCAATGCAAATGAAATGCAAGGAGCACTTGGGAATTCCTCCCTGTGGGGTACCCACAAGCCCTTTCACCCCCCCCACTCCGGGGAAGAGCGGAGAAAGAAAACAAACAAAGGAAACCAGCTGTTGCCACCAGCTAATTAAACGACATGGGCACAAACCTCAGAGGACACAAAAACCCAAATCCTGTTCTTAAAAAAGGTAAATTTTATTCAAAACAAAAAGGAAGAAAATACACCTGAAACTTAGGCTTTTGCTAGATTTTAAAAGAGCAATTCCAAAAAATTCAAGCACCCAAAACAGCGTCCTTGGGGGTCCATCTTAAAGTTTACAAGCAAACAAAAGCATCTGGGGTTAGCACAGAGGAGTCCACAAGCCAAAATAAAGAAATAAACCTGATCGCATCTAGCTAAACATTCCTTATCCCAATGATTCCTTCTAGGTATGGAAGATCACTTTTCATACCTGCTTCAAACCTTACACAGCATCGCTGCTCCATGTCCTTGCAGCCCAGAGAGAACAACCGACAAAGGGAAAGTTTCTTTCCCCGTTTTAAAAAGTTCTAGCCTTCCCCTTGGCTCTTTTGGTCAGGTGCCCACTTTCTTTTCTTTATCTGGGGGACTTTGGAAGCCATTGCGTGACAGACCAACAACCACCAGCCTGCAAACAAGACCTGTCAAGTGTACAGTAATCCAGATATCTGCCCCAGGTGTAGAACTGATCAATGAAATTGTTTTTAATTGTTCACTTTCTTAATAAAACTTCATAAGTAAAGTTTTATGAATGAAACAACATTCATTCATAAAACCAGGTACCCCGAGAACTGGCTAATTGAGTTTCACTTTCAATCCAATTGCTGCTTAAATCATGGAAACTTGCACTGTTTCAACATTGTAATGTCTGCTCCCTGTTTGTCATTCATTATATTTGTCTATATTGGAACGTCTGCTCCCTGTTTGCCATTCCTGACACGTGTCCATGTTGTAACTCAAACTCCATTTTAAAATGCTCACTTCATTTTTGCAAAACCCTGCTGTAATCTTATTAGTTTGCTGTGTGAATGAGGTACGTATGGGTGCTGGAATCAACCTCCAGCCCCAGCCGGCCCTGATGAAATAAAGTGTAAACACCAAGGGCTGAAGATGCAGACAACAGCCCTGACAAAGCAAGAAGAGCCCACCCTCAAAAGAAAAGGACAAAAGTACAATGGAAGGAAGATCAAAGCCAGGTCCCAGGCTGAAAGTCAGGTCTGCAATTGACGGGTGACCAGTCACACCGGCCCCAGAGGCAGCCGGACACAGCAAGACCTGTAGACTCTGGATTCAAACTAAAGCCTACAAAAAGGATGGATGAGATGGAAGACTTTGGCGGGTAACATTCTGCTGCCAACATGGAAGGGCATCGGTGCATGCCCAACAGAGCCCCAGCCCTTCCTTGTGCCCGGCTTTCCTGGCCAGTTAGCCGCCACCAGCTACGAACCTAAGCCACGAACTCAAGCTACATTCAGGACTGGGAACTATCTAGCAGCTGTAGAAGTTTTGGTGTGTGTATATAGGTATTAGATATTAGTTATTGGTCTTAAATCAAATCGTGTTATTATAATAAACGTGACATCTTGTCTTGTCCCCTGAAACGATCCTGTCCAGTTTTGTCTGTGTAACACAGGAAATGCAGCAGATGACGGCGAAAAGGATATACTCCACCAGCAGTTCAGCAAGTGCCGGCTTGTGTGCCCAGCCATGACATTAAGTTAATGATAGGGGACTTCAATGCACAAATGGGCAACAACTCTACCTGCTGGGAAGCAGTTACGAATGGCGCTTGAATCTCCCTGGCACAAACAGCCTGTAGACAGGAGACAGTCTTTTTCAGCACAAGAGGATTCAGACGCTCACAGGGAGATCAGCCCACAGTGCGACTGTCAATCGGAGAGAACATGTGGGTATATCCCAGGGTTGGGCATTTGCTCAGGGGGGTGCCTGAGTCAGCAGATGGGTTCTCAGAGCATTATCCTTTAGCGGCTACGTTACAACTGAAACTCAAACAGATGATGAAGAGAGACAAAAGGCGAGTTGGAGCGATAGAGGAGTGCCGGGTCCAAGAAAGACGGGGGAGGTTCCAGACTGCATTCAGCAACTGGGCCGGTGTTTTACAGGAGCAGGCTGATCAAAAGTCTGTAAGGCAGATGGTTGAACGGGAAAAAGGACAGTAGACAAGACGGCAGTGGGCCACCGAAGAGGCCAGAAGAAGGTGGAACGTGGGCATTGATTGACGAGGGGCCAAAAAGGAACCGTGCAAGAGGCAGACCTCAAAGGCGAACGTGAGGGAAAAGGGCAAAAGACGAAAGCTGAGAGGCACGCAAGACAGAAGTGCCTGGGTCCCGGTGAAAGCTGTGGAGGCAGAAGCAGCGGCAGAGAGGAGAGATTTCCAGCAGCTCTAATAAATAGTGGAAGACAGCTCAGGAAAAATCAGACCCCCAGAGGCGATGCCCATCAGCGACTCTCATGGACAGATAGTTAAAATGCACGAAGAACAAGTCAGATGATGAAAAGTGCAAGTCCATTCCAGATTAAACTGCCCGGAGCCAAAGATCATGCCCAGGTTTCAGAGAAAGGCCAGTGCTAAGTGGGCACTAGACGAGGGACCAGTAACACCCAAGAAGTGAAAGCAGGAACCACAGGGCTCCAACGGGAGAGAGCTCCCAGGGTGGACAG